CTATTTTTCCCCTGACCCATCTGTCTATCTCCTCATTTGAATTCCATGCTGTCACAGTCATTAGCCCATTTAAGCTTAATATCCTTGTCATTTATCGCCCTCCAGATTCCCTTGGAGAGTTCATCAATGAGCTTGACGCCTTGATAAGTTCCTTTCTTGATGGCTCACCCCTCACAGTTCTGGGGGACTTCAACCTCCCTACGTCTACCTTTGACTCATTTCTCTCTGCCTCCTTCTTTCCACTCCTCTCCTCTTTTGACCTCACCCTCTCACCGTTCCCCCCTACTCACAAGGCAGGCAATACGCTTGACCTCATCTTTACTAGATGCTGTTCTTCTACTAATCTCACTGCAACTCCCCTCCATGTCTCCGACCACTACTTTGTATCCTTTTCTCTCTCGCTCTCCTCCAACACTACTCACTCTGCCCCTACTCAGATGGTAATGCACCGTCGCAACCTTCGCTCTCTCTCTCCCGCTACTCTCTCCTCTTCCATCCTATCATCTCTTCCCTCTGCTCAATCCTTCTCCCTCCAATCTCCTGATTCTGCCTCCTCAACACTCCTCTCCTCCCTTTCTGCATCCTTTGACTCTCTATGTCCCCTATCCTCCCGGCCGACTCGGTCCTCCCCTCCAGCTCCGTGGCTTGATGGCTCTTGCGAGCTCACAGAACAGGGCTCCGGGCAGCCGAGCGGAAATGGAGGAAAACTAGACTCCCTGCGGACCTGGCATCTTTTCACTCCCTGCTCTCTACATTTTCTTCATCTGTTTCTGCTGCTAAGGCCACTTTCTACCACTCTAAATTCCAAGCATCTGCCTCTAACCCTAGGAAGCTCTTTGCCACCTTCTCCTCCCTGCTGAATCCTCCCCCCCCTTCCCCCCCTCCTACCTCTCTGTGGATGACTTCGTCAACCATTTTGAAAAGAAGGTTGACGACATCCGATCCTCGTTTGTTAAGTCAAATGACACTGCTGGTCCTGCTCACACTGCCCTACCCTATGCTTTGACTTCTTTCTCCCCTCTCTCTCCAGATAAAATCTTGCGACTTGTGACGGCCGGCCGCCCAACAACCTGCCCGCTTGACCCTATCCCCTCCTCTCTTCTCCAGACCATCTCCGGTGACCTTCACCCTTACCTCACCTCGCTGATCAACTCATCCTTGACCGCTGGCTATGTCCCTTCCGTCTTCAAGAGAGCGAGAGTTGCACCCCTTCTCAAAAAACCAACACTCGATCCCCAACAACTACAGACCAGTATCCCTTCTTTCTTTTTTCTCCAAAACTATTGAGCATGCCGTCTTTAGCCAACTCTCTTGCTATCTCTCTCAGAATGACCTTCTTGATCCAAACCAGTCAGGTTTCAAGACTGGTCATTCAACTGAGACTGCTCTTCTCTGTGTCACGGAGGCTCTCCGCACTGCTAAAGCTAATCTCTCTCCTCTGCTCTTGTCCTTCTAGACCTGTCTGCTGCCTTTGATACTGTGAACCATCAGATCCACGTGCTCTCACCACTGGTGTCCCCCAGGGCTCAGTTCTAGGCCCTCTCCTATTCTCGCTATACACCAAGTCACTTGGCTCTGTCATATCCTCACATGGCCTCTCCTATCATTGCTACGCAGATGACACACAACTAATCTTCTCCTTTCCCCCTTCTGATAACCAGGTGGCGAATCGCATCTGCATGTCTGGCAGACATATCAGTATGGATGACGGATCACCACCTCAAGCTGAACCTTGGCAAGACGGAGCTGCTCTTCCTCCCGGGGAAGGACTGCCCGTTCCATGATCTCGCCATCACGGTTGACAACTCCGTTGTGTCCTCCTCCTAGAGTGCGAAGAGCCTTGGCGTGACCCTGGACAACACCCTTTCGTTCTCCGCTAACATCAAGGCGGTGACCCGATCCTGTAGGTTCATGCTCTACAACATTCGGAGAGTACGACCCTGCCTTACACAGGAAGCGGCACAGGTCCTAATCCAGGCACTTGTCATCTCCCGTCTGGATTACTGCAACTCGCTGTTGGCTGGGCTCCCTGCCTGTGCCATTAAACCCCTACAACTCATCCAGAATGCCGCAGCCCGTCTGGTGTTCAACCTTCCCAAGTTCTCTCACGTCACCCCGCTCCTCCGCACACTCCACTGGCTTCCAGTTGAAGCTCGCATCTGCTACAAGACCATGGTGCTTGCCTACGGAGCTGTGAGGGGAACGGCACCTCCGTACCTTCAGGCTCTGATCAGTCCCTACACCCAAACGAGGGCATTGCGTTCATCCACCTCTGGCCTGCTGGCTCCCCTACCTCTGCGGAAGCACAGTTCCCGCTCAGCACAGTCAAAACTGTTCGCTGCTCTGGCACCCCAATGGTGGAACAAGCTCCCTCACGACGCCAGGACAGCGGAGTCACTCACCACCTTCCGGAGACATTTTAAACCCCACCTCTTTAAGGAATACCTGGGATAGGATAAAGTAATCCTTCTACCCCCCCCCCTTACCCCCCCCCAAAAAAAAACAAAAAAAACATTGTAAAGTGGTTATCCCACTGGCTATAAGGTGAATGCACCAATTTGTAAGTCGCTCTGGATAAGAGCGTCTGCTAAATGACGTAAATGTAAATGTGTATGTAAACATCCGACTTCAACTGTATGTCCTACCTTGGTATAGGCTCTGAGATCAAATAGGCAATAATGTTGCGCTCCTATCGCACGCACAGCAATACTGTAGCCTACCCATATTGTCAAATATTTGAAATAAGCTATTTACTGTGTTGGCAGAACGTTTTAATCGTTAGCAGTAATTTATGCTGTATCTGGGAAATGACTGTGTCAGTTTCTAAAGAGAAAACAATGGCAAATAGTTGTGGACCTGTCAGCGAACGTTTGAATTCAACAATGTTTTATATAGACTTTTCCCCCAATCTAAATATGAAGGACTGCCTGCGAATTCTGAAACATTGTAGGACAGGCTACTCAAAAAAAATGCAATAATAGTACAATTACAGTTCTATTTCACGTGTTTTTGTTCTACTTGACTTTTTTTTTGTTATAGTAGGCCTACTACTAATATTCATTACTGCGTTGGGATAGGGCAAGCAAGAAATGCATTTCACTGTACTTGTGCACGTGACAATAAAAACTTGAAACTTGATACATAGACCTACTTCAATGTAAAATATCAGTTGCGAAATTCGACTGTATGATATTGCAAAACTTGAAATACATATAACCTCTCTATTTACTAGGCTACTAGGTCCAATAAAATGAGGTATGCGAATGGTAATTTGTTGTATGGCTCCTTCGAGAATATGAACCCATCAAGGCCAGAAAAGGTGAGGAATATATTCTGCAATGGTTATGAAAATACATTAAATAGGAAAAAGATGTCTAATTATACGATTCCTAATTATTTTAGATTTAAAAAATAAAACACAGATTTTCACTCTTCTCACTAATGGCGAATGGTTGCATTCTTGTTAATATGTTTTCCAGTTTTTAGTTTTTAATTAATAAGCTTTTCACAATATCCCCAATACTTACTTGCCAGCTGGCAATTATTTCAACCACTAGCAAATGTGAATAAGCATGGTCTAAAGTTTGCAGGGAGGTGAGAACATTCTAACGTTAAATTAAACGTTTATAAATCTGGCTCACGTACATTTTGGGGTATACTTTGTACATATGCAGGGTTTATAAATGAAGACCCTGACCCCTGTCGGATGTCCAGATAATTTTCTGACATGTCAGACGTTTTGGTCATGCATCTTGTAAGTATGAGCAGTGCTAAGACGCGATTGGGCAAGGACTGCTGCCAATAGCCAATGAGCATTCAGCATGTGAGACCAGAACAATGATGGCCTAGAGGAAAGCAACAACAACGCGCGAAGTGTGGACAGAGGTGATGGAAGACAGATTAGTGGAGTTGGGGAGAAAACGCAGCTGCCTTTTCAGTGGGGTTGTTCGTTTTACATGGCCGGGTGCCCCGGTTGGAAGGAGTTGGATTATTTTAGACAATTCCATTGGTCCTTAAGTGAAATCTCCACCCACCCGGGGCATGCAAAACGAACTCCACCAATATTACATCTGCGTCCTACCATGACAGAAACCAAAAATATAATGTAATATTATCATTATTATTTAATATTAAATCCATATTCTGCGCCTCTCTTTTTTAATGTTTCTGCACATAATAATATGCACACTAATAAAGCAGCTCACTGTTTGCGTGTCGGCATTTTTTCCCTATAACAACCAAGAAACGCAGCGCAGGATCAACTAGGACTAGGGAATCATCGTGTAATATGAGCACCCACTTTCTGGGGTTGAGGATGGACGGAATTAAAGATTTGGGAAAAGGAAATCACGAAATGTGAGCACGTCCAACTTTTAGAAATCGTGTATGCCCAGTGAGAATTATATCCTTAAAGGCGTATAAAATGTATTTGTATCCGTTGATCACTCATCTGTTGAAATCACAGTGACTTATAGTATGTTATTCCAAATTGTATCATTATAATATTCAATTAAACGATTAATCTCTCCCAATTTTGATGTTTTATTGTAGTTTTTTTTTCACTTTAATGTCAAGACTATATATATACACACACTACACAAAACATACACACATTCACATAGACCTACACTATACACACAGACCTACACTATACACACGCACACAAACATACCGACACAACACACACACTGCTACTTTGTTCTTTATTTTACTCTTATTATTATATATCCTGATGTCTAGTCACTTTACCCTGCTTTCATGTACATATTGATCCTACGTCAAATATCTCGTACCCTGCACATTGATCTGGTACTGGTACTCCCTGTATATAGCTCCCTTCTTGTATATTTTATTCCTCTTGTGTAATTTTTGTTTTTACTTTATCGTTGGGAAGGGCTCGTAAGCAAGTATTTCGCGGTAAAGTACACACCCGTTGTATTCGGCGCATGTTAATTTGAAAGTAAATACCTACTTTTAGGACATTTCCGGTTGGGCATTCACAACATCCAAGATGGCTGCCACTGTTGAGTCCCTCGTTTCGTACGGGACCGATTCAGATTCAGATAATGAGACAAAATCTAATGTTAGTCCCGAAAAAGTTGACCCTGATGCCATAGCACACCTTCAACCGTTGAAATCTGGCCAAACAATGTCTTTGGCTCTCCTTAATTCAGCTCCTGAGGTCGCCGTAAAGGTAAGTGAGCTAGCAAGGCAGATTAGCCGGTTGCTAATTAAGCTAGATACTTTAGCTAGCTAATGTACGCTAGCTGTGGAGGTACGCAACGCTAACTAGTTACTAGTGCTATCCAGCCACAGTCGGCTTGTCACCTAGAAAGCAACTTTGGAATGTAATCACTAACTTTACTTATCTACCTACACTAACGTTAGGTGGATAGTGAAAGCACATATAGAACCATTACAGATCCTATTAAATTCCTAATTCTATGGATAGAACAATGAGCTTGTTATACAAATATTTGGTGAAAATAAGTAGCTAGAAAAGGAAGTTTCTGTAGAAATTGTGTGATTGCTCAGTTGGCTGAAAGTATTATTATTAATGGTAGTGTAATAAGTTTACATAATGAGAAGTTAGGCCTATCTTTGAGATATCTTCCAGTAAAACCAATGAGAAGAAAATATTTGGTGACCATTGAAACAAATTTTCCAATGTTGATTAATGCAACTTTAAATGTTTACTTTTTAAAAAGTATAGCCTAATAAATTCCTGCATTGAAGTAGCTAAAGTAAGAAAAAAGTGTGTTTTGGATGTTTACCTTAAAAGATGAGAGAGACGAGTTTAACCGTCCTTGCCCGCACCTGCCTTATTATGACACCTGGCGTCACCATACCTACATATGCAGACTTTCAATAATTAAAAATAGGTGAAAATATACACTTATTTGATCATAAGAGGTACACCATTGTTCGGAGATAATCGCTCATACCACCTGTAGTCTACATATCCTTTACAAAAATGTGGAAGTAGGCCTAGTGTATTCTCGCTTTACTAAATTATGTAAACGGAAAGATATTCCCTAAAACATCGAATGACCAATGTTGCATACATCGTTTGCCTCCGCTCTGTGCCAATTACTAATGAAATCATGCAACCGTACATGTCTTTGAAAGGGTATACAATTAAATAGGAGAATATCTTAAACATTGTAGGCAATACTGTAGATTACCCTAAACACTAGCGGCACCCCATCCTACAGACGGTCAAAAATCATTGGATTTGATTGTTTTTAACTCAATGTTGTCGGGTTACAATATATTTTATTCAGTCGGGCCATTTTTACAATGGTACTGTCACAAAGTGGGAAAGCAGGCAGTGGTAGTGAACAACGCTCCAAAAATGTAATTCTAAGAATAGCCTACAGAAAGTGTTTCCTAAGCCCAGTATCAGACATTTTTCCCACTGTCCCGTTCATCCTGTCTAGACTGCCACATTGGATCATTGGAATGTGCACATCGTTGTCTTAACAGGTTCAAACAACCACGTTTGTTTGTCTGTTACACAATGATCCTGCAATGTATTTATTTTTATAGTGAGTCCATCCAGGCACAGGATCATAGTGCGAGAGAAGGCAATTTATTGAGGAAATGTTACTTCCTTATGGTATAAAATAAATACGACCCTTCAGTTTCTTAGTCGCTCAGTGCAGTTTTTCTCTAACAAATCATCAACATTAGGCCAATTTCCAAAATCAGATTTTTTAAACGTAATACATCCTACAACAAAGCACGGAGCACTGTTGACAGCGGTGCGGCGTCCTCGCATTAACTTTTATGTTGCAGTGGTCCGCAAAAAATAAAAAAATGCGGGTAACAAAAGTACAATTAGGATAACAGGAGCTGAAGTATGCAGGCTTTGAATTGTCAAGTCTCGTAGTAGCCTATGTTGAAGCTTCATTGAGATGTCACAAAACTACGCTTGTTTTTGTGGGAAATCATCAAAAATGTTATTTAACATTGAATATGAAAGCATACATCAAAATCTGAAAATAATATAGGCCTATGTCACGTATCAAAATAGATAGCTATCATACCTCAATGTTGTTAGTCTAAATGTCCTGCGGATTTCAGCATTTCAGGTGGGCTACATATAAAATCAGACAGCGCGGCATATGAGGAAGACGCTTGAGGTGAATTACAGCTGCTCGTGTTATATTTATAGGATAGCCTATATGTCCTAATCAATTATAAATATTGCTTTCCAATTATTTAATTTACACACAATGTAACAGAAAGATAGCCTACATGTACTGTATAGGCTATAGCTTGATGACTAGGCGGCAGGTAGCCTAGCGGTTAAGAGCGTTGGGCCATTAACTGAAAGGTCGCTGGTTCGAATCCCCGAGCCGACGAGGTGAAAAATCAGTCGGTGCCCTTGAGCAAGGCACTGAACCCCAATTGCTTCAGTAAGTCGTTCTGGATAAAAGCATCGGCTAAATGACTCAAATGTATAAGGACTTGTCACAAAGCTTTTTTGCCCTAAGCGACCACTTTTTATCTCGCACCTCCATTGATTTTGTTCCCATAATGTTGGCAATTCTACAGGGGGAAACAACTATAACTTTGGATCGGATACAGTTTTGACCATTGGTTTTCTGAAATGATTATCTACTCAGTGAACATATTCCTCCCATACCCCTTGGTCCCCAAAAATATTTTTGATTGGACACCCTACTTTTTACGTTGAATATGATCCGAGATTGCCATCGAGTAGGCCGACAGTAAATACACTCAAGACGGTATTTACTGAAAAAAGGGTAAGTGAAATGATATAAGGAAATACATGTATCCTAGGCAACTGTAAGACTACACCAACGTGGCAGGTAGGCCTAATCGTGGTTATGACTTGGGGTTGCGAGCGATAATGGATAGATAGTCTATTTATTTAGCTGGATGCAAATGAGAAAAATTGTGACCGGTTCATTAAAGCGTTACAGAGCTTGGAGAATCGCAGGTTTAATTTGGTGCCACTGTAGGCTTGTCGAGTGGTTAGATTATGATGTCATAGACACTTCAGATCCTGGTTAAATTTGTGTAAGTATGGTCATTTTATTTGTAATTTAAAAAAAATATATTTCAACATTCACAATGAAATCCTGATTGGCGATGACAATGGACATCTTCATGTCAGTAGCGTAGCCATTCATTTGTTCATGGGTGGGACTATGGAATATTGGGTGGGCCAGAACTGAAGCGATTCAACTAATCTACGCTCTAAAATGTAAATTGTGCATGACGACACAGACTACTGTACCCAAACACACAGCCAACGCAACCTTTGGTCAGTAATTGTGGTCAATAGTTGTGTGATTCAGTAGTTCTGTGGTTGTGGTCAGTAGTTGTGTGGTTGTGGTCAGTAGATGTAGTCAGTAGTTGTGTTGCTCAGTTGGTAGAGCATGGCACTTGCAACGCCAGGGTTGTGGGTTCGATTCCCACGGGGGGCCAGTATGAAAAATGTATGCACTCACTAACTGTAAGTCGCTCTGGATAAGAGCGTTTGCTAAATGACTAAAATGTAAATGTGTGGTTGTGGTCAGTAGTTTGCCAGTAGTTGTGTGGTCAGTATATGGCTATGACAGTCTTGGAATTTGAGGTTACGGTAATTGGCCATACCAATGTACATGGTCACCGACATAAACGTTCAGGGGGTGAGGTCAAAAAGGGTAGGTCACAATTCTGTTTGTACACTTGTTTACATGGATATGCTTAATAAAACCTATTTAAAACAAGCCATTACACTTCGTTATTATCATGGCATTTCATTGTTATTATTCAGGTTATTACTTATAAATATGAATCAACAAATTAAGAAATGCCAGGTTGAAGAGGATCTGTCGCATTTTCGTATTGACACAACATTAACGGAGTCAAAATCAAGATATATGCCTTCCTTGTCTGTTGGCTTTTCTGCATATAAAAAATAAAATACGGATCCTATTTCGATGCACAAAACCATTCAAACAAAGTCTGATGGGTTTTCTCCCACTTTTCCCGAAATATTTGCATAACGTCACAAACCCTGCTGCTGTGGTCATTCGATGGCAGTGGCCATAATGAGAGAAATAATGTAGCCTAAGTTACTGAAAATAGGCCTTTTACAAGATTAAATCATGACAGGAGCGTTTGATTCTTATTAAAGAGATGGAGTCCAGACAGGCTACTTTAGGAAACTTTCTGAATGGACACACAGTATAGGCCTAGAGAGAGAATCAGCAAACTCACACATGCACACCCCCATAAAAGCACCCGTCAATTAAAGCCACCAGCGTATGTCAGACACGAGCAAATATTTATCCTTTCCTTAAAAAGTATTAAAAACCCTAGGCCTACCTTAGGTTTTCCAAAAATAGGCTATAAGATAATGAATTGACAATGAAAGTATGAATGGGACAGCTATGCGATAATATGAAGATTAAATTGACAATCATTAAAATAGAAACAAATACATGCAACATGTCCATAGCCTATCAGCGACGCTGATAATCGAGGTCGGAGAGTGTTGAAAATATTTTTCAAATACTGTGAGGAACTATTATAATTCGAATGGATGAAAAAAAAACAGTTGTACTCCGAATTGTCCCATTATCCCAACTGTTACACTGGGAAGATTAAACGACTGCTAGTTTTTTAGCGGTCATTCAGTCTTCTCGGTGTAACAGTTGGGATAATGGGACAATTCGGAGTACAACGCATTTCTCATCCCTGGATTGAAGTACGTTTTCCGAGACCTATCTCGCGCCGGCTCCGTGGTGTCTAGGTCTACACAGTAAGCCTGTTCGACCCTAGTGCAGCTGTAAGCAAGCAGGTTGGATCTGCTGGCTAGTCAGGTGGGAAAATGAATAGCTAACTAGTAACTAGATATATTGTATGGAGCTGGCTGATTTCTTAGCAAGATAGCTAATGAATTTATATTTAAAATCAAACCTGGGCCGCCCTCAACAGAACACAATGGTGTGCAAAGTTTGATTCATTGGAAACAGTGCTGTCCTGAACATTGTGATTATCGATTGTGTACGGTGGGCTGCATGAGTTTTGCGATTTCAAATGCTCACACCCATATTGTTCAGGCCACACCCACCAAACGGGAGCAAACACACCTCAGACTGGTGAAGAACAGTGCGCAACGTTTGGAGGAAACATGTTGTCCAGTACACAGCCGTCACGCAACTTAGTAAAACGTTTAATTAACTGAACGCACCCCAGGATAGATGTGTGACAACTAACATCAAGCCCCTTTAACTCAAGAGCCTTCATAGCCTGATGACTGACAAATGATGAGCAGTATAAAACCTGTCATGTTTCTTCACCCCAACAGGAGGCTGTGGAGACTGGTGTGCATCTGGACCCCTCTCTCAAAGAGGTCACCTACAACCCCACATATGAAACCATGTTTGCACCAGAGGTAAAATGTTTCATAGTAATATTTTACTCAAGAAAACTGCCATACATCATTCTAATGAATGTACCTACCTAACTGTACCTACCGAACATCAATTTTGCGCTGTGTTCACTCATACATGTTTATTTTCTCCTAGTTTGGTCCTGTCAACCCATATAGAAGTCAACAGATGGCTGCTCCCAGGAATATGCTGTCTGGCTATGCAGAGCCTGCTCACGTCAATGACTTCATGTTCGAACAGCAGAGGAGGACCTTCTCCACCTTTGGTAAGTTAGTGTAAGAGTAGGATCATCTGTGACTGTAGCCTATGTGACCAGAATAGACCTTATTCACACCACGGCCATTGTCTATGATAGAACGTTCAGCTGTGAATAAGGTCTAGTGAAGAGGTCAATCTTCCTTTCACCTTGAATCTAACGTTTTGGGGCTTTAGGGGAATGTAGCATCTTGGTTATTTTATTCACTTGTCATTCGCTTTTGCTTTCAGGCTATGCTCTGGATCCGTCTGTGGACACAACAAGCCAGAATTCCTCCAATAGCTACATCGGTGCAGTGGACGAGGCAGAGAAAAAGAAAGGTAATCCTTCATTTCCTACTCTTTGTGTTTTGTTGGGGTGCATTGCTAGCCGGTAAGGGGGATGTTTTGAAACTTAATGGAAAGCTGTGGAAGTGTGTAGTGTGGTCATTGTTCTCCATAGAACTTGGTGAAAGAAAGAGCATAATGTTACAGTTTCTCTTGTGTTTCTCCTCTCGTAGGATTGACTGTGTTTGAGGTTGGCCCAAAAAAACATGACAAGAGGAAAAAGGTGCAAGGAGGTGAATCGGATGACATTGACAATTACCTCGGGCCCTGGGCGAAATACGTGGACGAAAAGGACGGCGCCAAACCATCAGAGGTAATCAATTAATCAATCATTCAATACCGTGTGAAGTTCCTCAAAGCAATAAGGATGCTTATATTATATAGGAGCATGATTATTTAGACTTAACTGTTTTTTCCTCATGTAGAGATATGGTCTGATTCTAACTGATTGTTGTCTGCTGATTGGTCTGTAGGAGGAACAGAAGGAGCTGGATGAGATCACAGCCAAGAGGCAGAAGAAGGGAAGGAATGAGGAAGAAGCTCCGGCCGAGGAGAAGACCATTCTCCATGGTAACTAACACACTCATCTCAACCCTTACTAATTACATAACTAAACTGTTCAGCATTCACTCAGATGAGAAGAAAAATTGCTGTAGCCCTGTATGTAGGAAGTCCTCAGTCTTACTGTATACAGTATCTCCTCTGTGTCTCCAGTTAAAGACGCGTATGACTACCAGGGGAGGTCTTACCTCCACGTACCCCAAGACGTGGGCATCAACCTGCGTACTGCAGACATACCAGACAAGTGTTACCTGCCCAAGAAACAGATCCACGTCTGGACTGGACACACCAAGGTGAGTTGTGTGTGTGTGTGGACACCTTCGGACTCCAGTGTTTCCCCTAGGATTTTTTTCAGCAGCGGTGGAAGAGTTAAGTGGGGGTGGTCTTCCTGGGGCATACATATCTACATTTTTATTCTTTGTTATGCAGTGGCGGCCACAATTTAGCAAATGCATATAGGGGAAACACTGGACTCAGATGAGTGCTGTAACACTCCGGTCACTCTGGGTTGGGGTTTAGCTATTGTGTGACTGTGATACACACTTTACAGTGTCTGTCATCTTTACATGAGGGAAATGTGTGTGTGTGTGAGCAAAAGATGGAGAGGAAGACATTTCTGGTTCAGCAGACTGAGTGTGGAGAAGATGTGAACCTGCCTTTGGTTCTGCCTGTCTGCGGTAGCGAGAGAGCGGGGAGAATCGCTCAGGGCTTCCATCCCACATACTGGAACAGTTGCATACCAAGAGCCTAATTGAAAAGCTAGAGGAATAAAAAAGGAAGCATGCTAGTGGGCTTCTGGTGGAAAGATAGAGGATGGATGGAGAGACTGGTAGATGGTTTGATAATTTAGAGACGTTTTCTGTTAACCTCATTGTGATTTGAGGAATATCCTGCACGGGGGATGCCATGAGCAACATGTCTTGGCATAAATGAGTGTGCAGCAAGGCATAAATGCCTGATATCTGCCTCTGTAGAATTAGCATTCAAGGAGGATGTCCTCTCTTACTGCTGTGCTGCTAGCCATAGGGCAGGCTAAGTTTAATCTCTCTCTCACACACACACTGAACTGTTGATGGGTAGGGGATCAGTGCTGTCCAAGACCAGTTGTTAGTGAGTATTATCACACACACGCAGTGTGTCAGTGAGGTGTTGATGTTGCCAGAGGGGTGACTGTGCCCTTGATGAAACATTAACAAACTCCCAAAGACCAAGGGATAATTATGACCAGAGGCAAATATTAAAGATGCACTGAACCCTTTTAGAACTCCAGCACCTGCTGTTTCTGAAATGGCAAAATAAGGATTGTTCTGGCTCTGTGGGAATACAGACAAAAGATAAGACACCACGTTACACTGTTAAGCATGGGTGTCGAATTCATTCCATGGAGGGCCTAGTGTCTGCAGGTTTTTCCTTTCAATTAAGACTTAGACAACCAGGTGAGGGGAGTTCCTTACTAATTAGTGACCTTAATTCATCAATCAAGTACAAGGAAGGAGTGAAAACCCGCAGACACTCGGCCCTCCGTGGAATGAGTTTGACACCTGTGCTGTTAGTGGAACTGACATCGTTTTAACTACTTTGCAGATATGAAACAGACAATCATAATATCAGTCAAAAATATCAAATTCGCAGTTTATGCTACAAAACCAACTTTATAAGAGGTTTTACAAATAGGTTCTATTTAGCTCAACATTCCATGACGTACACTAAGGGATTGTTGGCGGAATAGATGGATTCAGTTCAATGCATGATTAATATAATGAACCAATGCATTTCTTGGTAGTCCAAATAATATTACTATCAGGTTGTAAATCACAGCTGGCCTGGTACATTGTTTGCTGCCTCCATTCGGGATGCACTGTTTCTCTTTCAATTACTCAATATTTTGGACAAAAACGGACGAACCGACACTTTAGCCAGTTAGCTCGAGTGCTTGGTTGGGATAAGCATGCATTGGCAGGCATGCTGCAAAAGGACGAGGAGGCTACAATTCCCCATCATTTATCAGTGCAATTTTGATGGCCAACTAGCTGAAAAAGTTTGGGAAGGTTTATCTAATGTTCCTTCGTTAGATTTTAGCTCATCTTGCTCTGGCTAGCATTAATTGTTGATCTTGTTGATGTGCATAATTGAGGGAGAGAGAGCCTACCTTTTCATGGTTGTTTGATCAATAGGACTATAAAGTTCTCAAATGTAAGAGGACTCCCGTGGTATTTAGATATTTGCAGAAATCCATTCAGGTGTATTTTGTGGCTTTTGGCAAATGCGTTCTAATGATCTAAAGTCCCACTGTTGCTACTGCCTGCAAACACACAGTCCAGTCTGAAGTGAATGATGGCAGGCCTGTGTGGCAAATGGCTTGTTCGCGTAAAGGCCTACTGTAGCTCTGATAGGCTATGGCGCACCGGTCTGCGTAGACTCCGGTCCTGGACGAGACAGATGTTTTATTTCCTGCAGTGTCTATTAATTGTCCAAACGCACGGCCGCTTTCCCACTTTGTATTGTTTTCACAAATGCCTTAGTGTACGTACAGTGGGGGAAAAAAGTATTTAGTCAGCCACCAATTGTGCAAGTTCACCTGTAATTTTCATCATAGGTACACGTCAACTATGACAGACAAATTGATAAATTTTTTCTCCAGAAAATCACATTTTAGGATTTTTAATGAATTTATTTGCAAATTATGGTGGAAAATAAGTATTTGGTCACCTACAAACAAGCAAGATTTCTGGCTCTCACAGACCTGTAACTTCTTCTTTAAGAGGCTCCTCTGTCCTCCACTCGTTACCTGTATTAATGGCACCTGTTTGAACTTGTTATCAGTATAAAAGACACCTGTCCACAACCTCAAACAGTCACACTCCAAACTCCACTATGGCCAAGACCAAAGAGCTGTCAAAGGACACCAGAAACAAAATTGTAGACCTGCACCAGGCTGGGAAGACTGAATCTGCAATAGGTAAGCAGCTTGGTTTGAAGAAATCAACTGTGGGAGCAATTATTAGGAAATGGAAGACATACAAGACCACTGATAATCTCCCTCGATCTGGGGCTCCACGCAAGATCTCACCCCGTGGGGTCAAAATGATCACAAGCACGAGCAAAAATCCCAGAACCACACGGGGGGACCTAGTGAATGACCTGCAGAGAGCTGGGACCAAAGTAACAAAGCCTACCATCAGTAACACACTACGCCGCCAGGGACTCAAATCCTGCAGTGCCAGACGTGTCCCCCTGCTTAAGCCAGTACATGTCCAGGCCCGTCTGAAGTTTGCTAAGTGCATTTGGATGATCCAGAAGAGGATTGGGAGAATGTCATATGGTCAGATGAAACCAAAATAGAACTTTTTGGTAAAAACTCAACTTGTCGTGTTTGGAGGACAAAGAATGCTGAGTTGCATCCAAAGAACACCATACCTACTGTGAAGCATGGGGTGGAAACATCATGCTTTGGGGCTGTTTTTCTGCAAAGCGACCAGGACGACTGATCCATGTAAAGGAAAGAATGAATGGGGCCATGTATCGTGAGATTTTGAGTGAAAACCTCCTTCCATCAGCAAGGGCATTGAAGATGAAACATTTTACATTTACATTTTAGTCATTTAGCAGACGCTCTTATCCAGAGCGACTTACAGTTAGTGATTACATTATTATTTTTTTATACTGGCCCCCCGTGGGAATCGAACCCACAACCCTGGCGTTGCAAACGCCATGCTCTATCAACTGAGCTACATCCCTGCCGGCCATTCCCTCCCCTACCCTGGGCCAATTGTGCGCCGCCCATGAGTCTCCCGGTCGCGGCTGGCTGCGACAGAGCCTGGATTCGAACCAGGATCTCTAGTGGCACAGTTAGCACTGCGATGCAGTGCCTTAGACCACTGCGCCACTCAGCATGACAATGATCCCAAACACACCGCCCGGGCAACGAAGGAGTGGCTTCGTAAGAAGCATTTCAAGGTCCTGGAGTGGCCTAGCCAGTCTCCAGATCTCAACCCCATAGAAAATCTTTGGAGGGAGTTGAAAGTCCATGTTGCCCAGCGACAGCCCCAAAACATCACTGCTCTAGAGGATATCTGCATGGAGGAATGGGCCAAAATACCAGCAACAGTGTGTGAAAACCTTGTGAAGACTTACAGAAAACCTTTGACCTGTGTCATTGCCAACAAAGGGTATATAACAAAGTATTGAGAAACTTTTGTTATTGACCAAATACTTATTTTCCACCATAATTTGCAAATAAATTCATAAAAAATCCTACAATGTGATTTTCTGGATTTGTTTTTCTTAATTTGTCTGTCATAGTTGACGTGTACCTATGATGAAAATTACAGGCCTCTCTCATCTTTTTAAGTGGGAGAACTTGCACAATTGGTGGCTGACTAAATACTTTTTTCCCCCACTGTATTTCCCAAACATTCTACAAATTTATGAAAACGTGAAAATGACCATATCTAAGTGCTCACTTGTCAGAAAATGTTTTAAAAACTGATTTTAATAAGATTTCATGTTGCTAAAATGCTTTCAGTTCAACTTTAAGAGTCACATAAGATGGTATAGGGTTATGTTACTATGGTATAATACTACTGCTGTGCTGAGTGCTCCTTGCCTTGCTCTCTCATCTCTCCTTACTCTCTAATTCAGGGATGGGCAACTCCAGTCCTCGGGCTGGAGTGGTGTCACACTTTTTCACCATCCCTAGCAAACACAGCTGATTTAAACTAATTGCATTCTAAACTGAAGAGCATGATTAGTTGATTATTGGAGTCAGGTGTGTTAGCTGGGACTGGGGCAATAGTGTGACATCATTCAGGCCCCAGAGGACTGGAGTTGCCCATACCTGCTCTAATTCCTTGAGACAATTAGCCTTCTATATAAGAGGAATTATAGCAATACCATACGCACACCTGCGAGCTCATAGACAGGCAGATTATTATATTATTCTATTACGTCCATTAACCTCTTTCTCTCGCTCTCTCTGCAGGGGGTCAGTGCTATCCGTCTGTTTCCTGTGTCAGGTCACCTGCTGCTCTCCTGCTCTATGGACTGTAAGATCAAGGTAAGGAACACTCCTGCCACGCTGACAGTCCTGCCACGCTGACACACCATTAAGTCCTCACTGAGGTGGTGATTTACAACGATCTTCTTCTTCTATATCTCCTCTCATGTCCCCTTTCCTCTGCATTATTTTTTTCTCTTCATATTAAGTTAAACGATATCTCTCTCTGCTCCATCTCTCTTTTCTCCCTCTTCTTGACTGAGACAAACTAACTTGTATTTTTGGAGAAGGAGACTCTTCTCTTACTCTCTGTTCCCTTCATCCCTCCATCTTTCCATTTCTCTCTCCTTGGCTTAGCTGAGAGTGATTCTATCCTGTGGATTTAGTTATAAAGATGTCTTTGGTCTCTCTGCGTGTTCCTGGTAGAACCAGGGACCTACTGGTTTTTAATGAAGCGCCGTCTCAGATGAGCCCTGTGCTGGTTTCTGATGATACCCTCACTGTTTACCAGTGGGACTGGTGCTTCAGACACTGAACCATGCTGGTCAAAACCAATCAAAGGGTCACAGAGTGCTATTGGCAGAATCAGTTTTAATCTTCTCTTCTCTCATCCCTCTCTCCTCAGTTGTGGGAGGTGTATAATGAGAGGAGGTGCGTACGGACGTTTATCGGTAAGTGGACTAACTCTGTTTCCTGTTTCGCACTCTGTTTCTGTTATTCATGTGTTGTGCTACAAGGATTACAATGCCCCTTGGATTAAGAGGATAAGACCTTAGCTGAAACCACTAACTAGCCTAAGTCTTGTCATCTCTTAAGGGTATACAAAACCAATTTGCATTTCTTAATCAATCAAGCACAACTTCAATATTCAATCTATCCACCAGTACAAGTTAGTTAGATTCCAATTCATCACACTCCTCTCCCTTGGCAGATCTGATTACACTGTTTCTGCCTATATCTGCTTTCTCTAAATGAAGATTGAACACTAATTCAACGCTGAGCGAACGTGAGGCTGAACGTCGGGGGAATAGAACATAGGGTAGCTGTAAGATGGTGTCAGAGCATCGCGCTGGGCCACGTGGTCAGAGAGAGTGACATCTCATTACCCTGTTTCCAACTATTCCTCAACTCTTGATGTTGAGTCAGAATGCTAATTCAGAATGAATAGAACGTTAATGGAACGTGGGCTGACACTATTCGGGGTGGGGGTGTAAAGACGTGGAGTAGATTTAAAATGGCCTCAGACTTCTGGGATATGTTCTGAATGGAAATGGAACGTTAAAGGGATACTTCAGGATTTTGGCAATGAGGCCCTTTATAAACTTCCCCAGAGCCAGATGAACTCGTAGATACCATTTGTGTGTCTCTGTGTCCAGTATGAAGGAAGTTGAATGTAGTTTCACAAGCCAATGCTAACTAGCATTAGCGCAATGACTGTAAGTCTATGGGTATCTGCTAGCATGTACAGTTGAAGTCGGAAGTTTACATACACTTAGGTTGGAGTCATTAAAACTCGTTTTTCAAACACTCCACAAATGTCTTGTTAACAAACTATAGTTTTGGCCAGTCGATTAGGACATCTACTTTGTGCATGACACAAGTCATTCTTCCAACAATTGTTTACAGACAGATCCTCAGCAAGGAAGAAGCCACTGCTCCAAAACCGCCTTAAAAAAGCCAGACTACGGTTTGCAACTGCACATGGGGACAAAGATCGTACTTTTTGGAGTAATGTCCACTGGACTGATGAAACAAAAATAGAACTGTTTGGACATAATGACCATTGTTATGTTTGGAGGAAAAGGGGGTGGCTTGCAAGCCGTAGAACACCATCCCAACCGTGAAGCACGGGGGTGGCAGCATCATGCTGTGGAGGTGCTTTGCTGCAGGAGGGACTGGTGCACTTCACAAAATAGATGGCATCATGAGGAAGAAAAATTATGTGGATATATTGAAGCAACATCTCAAGACATCAGTCAGGAAGTTAAAGCTTGGTCGCAAATGGGTCTTCCAAATGGACAATGACCCCAAGCAGACTTCCAAAGTTGTGGCAAAATGGCTTAAGGACAACAAAGTCAAGGTATTGGAGTGGCCATCACAAAGCCCTAACCTCAATCCTATAAATGTGTGGGCAGGACTGAAAAGGCGTGTGAGAGCAAGGAGGCCTACAAACCTGACTCAGTTACACCAGCTCTGGCAGGAGGAATGGGCCAGAATTCACCCAACTTATTGTGGGAAGCTTGTGGAAGGCTACCCAAAACGTTTGACCCAAGTTAAACAATTGAAAGGCAATGCTACCAAATACTAATTGAGTGTATGTAAACCTCTGACCCACTGGGAATGTGATGAAAGAAATAAAAGCTGAAAGAAATAATTCTCTCTACTATTATTCTGACATTTCACGTTCTTAAAATAAATTGGTGATCCTAACTGACCTAAGACAGGGAATTTCTACTAGGATGATATGTCAGGAATTGTGAAAAACTGAGTTTAAATGTATTTGGCTAAGGTGTATGTAAACTTCTGACTTCAACTGTAGATAAAGGGCCTCATTGCTAAAATCCCAAAGTATCCCTTTAATTTAGTGCTCAGTTAATGTTAATGGTATGTGAAGGTTCCGCTGAGCGTTGAGGATAGGATTTGACTAGACAGTGGCATGCAGCTGGGTATTGGGACCTTCCCTCCCTCCAGGCTGGGTATTAGGACCTTCCCTCCCTCCCTCCCTCCAGACTGGGTATTGGGACCTACCCTCCCTCCCTCCAGACTGGGTATTGGGACCTACCCTCCCTCCCTCCAGACTGGGTATTGGGACCTACCCTCCCTCCCTCCAGACTGGGTATTGGGACCTACCCTCCCTCCCTCCAGACTGGGTATTGGGACCTACCCCCTCCCCCAGACGGTGTGGGACCTACCCCCCTCCAGACTGGGTATTGGGACCTACCCTCCCTCCCTCCAGACTGGGTATTGGGACCTACCCTCCCTCCCTCCAGACTGGGTATTGGGACCTACCCTCCCTCCCTCCAGACTGGGTATTGGGACCTACCCTCCCTCCCTCCAGACTGGGAATTGGGACCTACATTCCCTCCCTCCAGACTGGGTATTGGGACCTACCCTCCCTCCAGACTGGGTATTGGGACCTACCCTCCCTCCCTCCAGACTGGATATTGGGACCTACCCTCCCTCCAGACTGGGTATTGGGACCTTCCCTCCAGACTGGGTATTGGGACCCTCCCTCCCTCCAGACTGGGTATTAGGACCTTCCCTCCCTCCCTCCAGACTGGGTATTGGGACCTACCCTCCCTCCCTCCAGACTGGGTATTGGGACCCTCCCTCCCTCCAGACTGGGTATTGGGACCTACCCTCCCTCCCTCCAGACTGGGTATTGGGACCTTCCCTCCCTCCCTCCAGACTGGGTATTGGGACCTTCCCTCCCTCCCTCCCTCCAGACTGGGTATTGGGACCTACCCTCCCTCCAGACTGGGTATTGGGACCTACCCTCCCTCCAGACTGGGTATTAGGACCTTCCCTCCCTCCCTCCAGACTGGGTATTGGGACCTTCCCTCCCTCCAGACTGGGTATAGGGACCCACCCTCCCTCCAGACTGGGTATTGGGACCTACCCTCCCTCCCTCCAGACTGGGTATTGGGAACACCATCCCAACCGTGAAGCACGGGGGTGGCAGCATCATGCTGTGGAGGTGCTTTGCTGCAGGAGGGACTGGTGCACTTCACAAAATAGATGGCATCATGAGGAAGAAAAATTATGTGGATATATTGAAGCAACATCTCAAGACATCAGTCAGGAAGTTAAAGCTTGGTCGCAAATGGGTCTTCCAAATGGACAATGACCCCAAGCAGACTTCCAAAGTTGTGGCAAAATGGCTTAAGGACAACAAAGTCAAGGTATTGGAGTGGCCATCACAAAGCCCTAACCTCAATCCTATAAATGTGTGGGCAGAACTGAAAAGGCGTGTGAGAGCAAGGAGGCCTACAAACCTGACTCAGTTACACCAGCTCTGGCAGGAGGAATGGGCCAGAATTCACCCAACTTATTGTGGGAAGCTTGTGGAAGGCTACCCAAAACGTTTGACCCAAGTTAAACAATTGAAAGGCAATGCTACCAAATACTAATTGAGTGTATGTAAACCTCTGACCCACTGGGAATGTGATGTAAGAAATAAAAGCTGAAAGAAATAATTCTCTCTACTATTATTCTGACATTTCACGTTCTTAAAATAAATTGGTGATCCTAACTGACCTAAGACAGGGAATTTCTACTAGGATGATATGTCAGGAATTGTGAAAAACTGAGTTTAAATGTATTTGGCTAAGGTGTATGTAAACTTCTGACTTCAACTGTAGATAAAGGGCCTCATTGCTAAAATCCCAAAGTATCCCTTTAATTTAGTGCTCAGTTAATGTTAATGGTATGTGAAGGTTCCGCTGAGCGTTGAGGATAGGATTTGACTAGACAGTGGCATGCAGCTGGGTATTGGGACCTTCCCTCCCTCCAGGCTGGGTATTAGGACCTTCCCTCCCTCCCTCCAGACTGGGTATTGGGACCTACCCTCCCTCCCTCCAGACTGGGTATTGGGACCTACCCTCCCTCCCTCCAGACTGGGTATTGGGACCTACCCTCCCTCCCTCCAGACTGGGTATTGGGACCTACCCTCCCTCCCTCCAGACTGGGTATTGGGACCTACCCTCCCTCCAGACTGGGTATTGGGACCTACCCTCCCTCCCTCCAGACTGGGTATTGGGACCTACCTTCCCTCCCTCCAGACTGGAAATTGGGACCTACCCTCCCTCCAGACTGGGTATTGGGACCTACCCTCCCTCCCTCCAGACTGGATATTGGGACCTACCCTCCCTCCAGACTGGGTATTGGGACCTACCCTCCCTCCCTCCAGACTGGGTATTGGGACCCTCCCTCCCTCCAGACTGGGTATTAGGACCTTCCCTCCCTCCCTCCAGACTGGGTATTGGGACCTACCCTCCCTCCCTCCAGACTGGGTATTGGGACCCTCCCTCCCTCCAGACTGGGTATTGGGACCTACCCTCCCTCCCTCCAGACTGGGTATTGGGACCTTCCCTCCCTCCCTCCAGACTGGGTATTGGGACCTTCCCTCCCTCCCTCCCTCCAGACTGGGTATTGGGACCTACCCTCCCTCCAGACTGGGTATTGGGACCTACCCTCCCTCCCTCCAGACTGGGTATTAGGACCTTCCCTCCCTCCCTCCAGACTGGGTATTGGGACCTTCCCTCCCTCCAGACTGGGTATTGGGACCCACCCTCCCTCCAGACTGGGTATTGGGACCTACCCTCCCTCCCTCCAGACTGGGTATTGGGACCTACCCTCCCTCCCTCCAGACTGGGTATTGGGACCTACCCTCCCTCCCTCCAGGCTGGGTATTAGGACCCTCCCTCCCTCCAGACTGGGTATTGGGACCTACCCTCCCTCCCTCCTGACTGGGTATTGGGACCTACCCTCCCTCACGACTGGGTATTGGGACCTACCCTCCCTCACGACTGGGTATTGGGACCTACCCTCCCTCCCTCCAGGCTGGGTATTAGGACCCTCCCTCCCTCCAGACTGGGTATTGGGACCTACCCTCCCTCCCTCCAGACTGGATATTGGGACCCACCCTCCCTCCAGACTGGGTATTGGGACCTACCCTCCCTCCCTCCAGACTGGGTATTAGGACCCACCCTCCCTCCAGACTGGGTATTGGGACCTACCCTCCCTCCAGACTGGGTATTGGGACCTACCCTCCCTCCCTCCAGGCTGGGTATTAGGACCCTCCCTCCAGACTGGGTATTGGGACCTACCCTCCCTCCCTCCAGGCTGGGTATTAGGACCCTCCCTCCCTCCAGGCTGGGTATTGGGACCTACCCTCCCTCCCTCCAGACTGGGTATTGGGACCTACCCTCCCTCCCTCCAGACTGGGTATTGGGACCTACCCTCCCTCCCTCCAGGCTGGGTATTAGGACCCACCCTCCCTCCAGGAGGGGCTGTCAGAGGAGATTGTTTTCCCTCAGCCGGGGTTCTGCCTGTCAGCTCCCTCAAACACCATGTATAATTCAACAGCCCTGGGAGGGAGAGGGGGATGTAGAGAGGGGAACAGAGGGCAAGAAAGAGTCGAAATAGAGGTATGGAGAGTGCGTGTGTTTTTAGGAATGGAGCCTGTATGAGTGCCAGGTCTGTACAGTGCCTGTGGGGTTTAGACTAGGAGTCTGTGCCGTTACAGTAATGGCATAGTACTGAATCAGGCCCAGTATCAACATGCTGCCCAATATAGTCTTTACTTATTTAATACATCAACAAGGAACTACGCTCTTTCTCTCTTTCCCTCTTTTTTTCTCTCTCATTGATTTCAAGGGGGGATATTTTTTATGTTGCCCTTCATTGCAAATCGAAACCCAATTCACTGTGCCTGCCCTGCCCTTGTCTTATCTCTTATCTTACTCATTGTGATCTCAATAAAGCAGCATAATGAGAAAAAAACACAGCCTTTTAATGTTGTTGGGATTTGTGCCACAGCCACCAATGCTCTTGAGAGAGATAGGAGGGAGGTGCGCTCTAGCCAGGCAGCTCTAGCCAGGCAGCTCTAGCCAGGCAGCTCTAGCCAGGCAGCTCTAGCCAGGCAGCTCTAGCCAGGTGAGCCATGGGAAGGCCTGGCTGGTGGACATGCAGACTAGCCTCGACGGACCATGTTATCGCCACGGTAACAGTGTAGCGCTGATAAAAGGCGGTCTTAAAGGGACATTTCAAAATGTTTCACCGTCATATTAATCATCTCCAGAACACACATAGGGGAGGGGATGAGAGAGAGGGATGGAGGTAGGAATAAGTGGAGACCAGGGGGAAGAGATGAGTTGAGGGAGAGAGAGGATGGAGAGAGAGAGGGATGGAGAGAGAGGATGGAGGGAGAGATAGAGGGATGGAGGGGCCTGTATCATCATCTTCCTTGCCTTGATCCTCCCTCTCTTCTCCACTTTGTCTTTCTCTCTCTTTCTTACCCTCTGTCTGTGATTCTGATATTCCAACAATGTGATCTGACAGGCAGTGGGATCAGGGGGCTATGACAGAATAACAGAACAGGAAGAATATGTGCATATGTAATGTGTGAGTGTTTCTCTCTTGTCTCCCTCCAGGCCACAGTAAAGCGGTGCGGGATATCTGCTTCAACAACACTGGGACTCAGTACATGAGTGCAGCCTACGACCGCTACCTCAAACTCTGGGACACAGAGACAGGTCGGTCCTGCCGCGGTTGTGGTGACCAGGATAGAAATGCCACGAACGTTCCACAACGTTGCAGCCTTCTGAATGCAGCCCAGGCCTGGGGACTTTCACTGAACAGGACAGTCGTGGCCATGATAGAAATGCCACGAATAAAGCCGTCACGATTACTTGCTTGACATAGTCAGAGAAGCATGTCAGTTGTTGTGCCCTACTGAAGGTGGCCAGCATTGTGGGACATTCAGATAGAAATGTGTTGTCTGTGGGTTCTACCATAAGGACTATGGAGGGTCTCTGCTCCCCCCGAAGATAGAAATGTGTTGTGTAGATGTCGGTGGAGGCTGCTGAGGGGAGGATGGCTCATAATAATGGCTGGAATGGAGTCAATGGAGTGGTATCAAACGCATGGAAACCACTTATTTGATACCATTCCATTGACTCCATTCCAGCCATTATTATGAGCCGTCCTCCCCTAAGCAGCCTCCACTGGTAGATGTTGGTTCTACCACAAGGAGCAGGGAGGGTCTCTGCTCCCCCAGCAGAGGGCAGTACAGAAACTAATCCTCCAATTGTTGCTCTGAAGGACCGCTGAATTGTCATAGCACCTTGTTTACTAGTCACTGAGCTGTAGGGTTAGGGCCCATTCCATTGACATTTAGTCAACTTGTATTGATAAATTGAAAATGACCTATTGTAATGAGGATTTTTCTCATCATCGATTGCATTGAATATACAAATCTGATTGGATTGACAGAATGCCACACCGGCAAGTTATGGCTAGCTGTTGGTGGTGTTTCTGCCACAGAGATTCTATTAATTCTAATATGTAAATATATGGTTTCTGCACTATAATGAAGACACTGTGTGTTGCAGACCGTCAGTGTGGGTTGTTCTGAAACGTGTCAACTGTCCCTCCACAGGCCAGTGCATCTCCCGCTTCACCAACAGGAAGGTGCCGTACTGCGTCAAGTTCAACCCAGACGAGGACAAGCAGAACCTGTTCGTGGCCGGCATGTCTGATAAGAAGATCGTTCAAGTACTGTCATCACACACACACACACACACACACACACACACACACACACACACACACACACACACACTCTACCTAGAGGCTGCTCAGTATGAGACAGGATTGTATTTCATGCTCCGTGGGCTCCTGTGTAGTGTGAGACTAGAACAAGGAAAAATGCAGAGAGCGAGGACAGGACAGAGAAAGAAAGAACAGAAAGAGAGATCTGTGAAAGATAACAACTCACTGGGAACAGTCAATTTGCTGGAAAATAATTAAACTGCTCCTGGAATAAATCAATGTGTCTGTAAACGGGCAATCGTCTGCCCCCTAATTAAACTGTACTATTGGTGTGTGTTCTAGTGTTTGTCTGTGACAGGAGTGTGTTGTGTAATTATTATTCCCATAGCTGTGTGTTTAACCTGTTTTCAATTTGTATTAATTGACTTATTTTCTCTCTCTCCCTCTCTCACCCCTTTCTCTCGCTCTCTCAGTGGGATGCGAGGACAGGGGAGGTGGTTCAGGAGTATGACCGTCACCTGGGCGCGGTCAACACCATCACGTTCGTGGATGAGAACCGCCGTTTCGTCAGCACGTCAGACGACAAGTCCCTCCGCGTGTGGGAATGGTGAGTGACACATAGACTGCTGAGGTTTTTAAATCAGCACAGTTCTGAAATGGAAATGATTCAACAACATTGTTGATGAGTCGCATCATAGCATCACTCCTGGTATTATGCTTCATTTACATAATATACTGTATCTCTGGCATGTACATTAGGGCCAACAGCTTGTCTTGACAGAATTCTAGATACCTCTGCAAACTGAACTTATTGCCAAAGAGTATTTAACAAGTGATAAAGTGCAAATGAGAGTAGTGGAGGAATGTGTTTGGTTGACTGGGTTATGGTGCTATGGGTGGCTTGTCATGGGAAGTTCAGTACTGTTGGTATCGATGAAAAGTCCTCTCGTCTTCTAGCTTGTCATTTCAGGGTCTTACCTACCAGATCTTATTCCGCTTTCATATTTTTTTATTCGCTTATGACGTGTTTAGCTAGATTATTTTGTCAGGGCAAAAAATGTTTTCAAGCCCGCCGAGAATTATTTGCAAGTTAGCTTGGTTCCCATGGCGATAAACACATGCTGTTGTTTTTACCTCGCTAAGATTATAATTCTTTAAGACCCGGTGACTAAGGACATAAGTTTCATAGGGATTCTTGGAGGGACTGTTTTATAAGAACAATGCATATTCCTTGAAATACCCCCCTTTTCCCATCAGTCGTGTTCCTTTCTGTAATATCTGGTTGGTGTGTGTGTTTAAGCAGTAGGATTGACTGGTAAGGAGAGGGTGCCAGGGATGCCAGCTGTGGCTTTAATAGTGAAGTCTGGAGAGAGAGTGGGCATGGTCGCTGAGAAGGGAGCGTTATGCATTCTTGCTAGTATGCCTAATATGGCTATATGTGAGTGAAGGGGTTGAATGCGCCGCCACCTGTTTGGTCTCCGTTGCAGTTTTTACAGTTTATTAGAGACACTGTACAGTTGTGGTCAAACATTTTGAGAATGACACAAGTATTGGTCTTCACAAAGTTTGCTGCTTCAGTGTTTTTTGATATTTTTGTCAGATGTTACTATGGTATAGTGAAGTTTAATTACAAGCATTCCATAAGTGTCAAAGGCTTTTATTGACATTTACATTACGTTTATGCAAAGAGTCAATATTTGCAGTGTTGACCCTTCTTTTTCAAGACCTCTGCAATCCCCCCTGGCATGCTGTCAATTAACTTCTGGGCCACATCCTGACTGATGGCAGCCCATTCTTGCATAATCAATGCTTGGAGTTTGTCAGAATTTGTGGGGTTTTGTTTGTCCACCCGCCTCTTGAGGATTGACCACAAGTTCTCAATGGGATTAAGGTCTGGGGAGTTTCCTGGCCATGGACCCAAAATGTCGATGTTTTGTTCCCCGAGCCACTTAGTTATCACTTTTGCCTTATGGCAAGGTGCTCCATCATGCTGGCTAAGACATTGTTCGTCACCAAACTGTTCTTGGATATTTGGGAGAAGTTGCTCTCTGAGGATGTGTTGGTACCATTCTTTATTCATGGCTGTGTTCTTAGGCAAAATTGTGAGTGAGTCCACTCCCTTGGCTGAGAAGCAACCCCACACATGAATGGTCTCAGGATGCTTTACTGTTGGCATGACACAGGACTAATTGTAGCGCGCACTTTGTCTTCTCCGGACAAGCTTTTTTCCGGATGCCCCAAACAATCAAAAGGGGATTCATCAGAGAAAATGACTTTACCCCAGTCCTCAGCAGTCCAATCCCTATACCTTTTGCAGAATATCAGTCTGTCCCTGATGTTTTTCCTGGAGAGAAGTGGCTTCCTCGCTGCTCTTCTTGACACCAGGCCATCCTCCAAAAGTATTCGCCTCACTGTGCGTGCAGATGCACTCACACCTGCCTGCTGCCATTCCTGAGCAAGATCTGCACTGGTGGTGCCCCGATCCCGCAGCTGAATCAACTTTAGGAGACGGTCCTGGCGCTTGCTGGACTTTCTTCACAACAATTGAACCTCTCTCCTTGAAGTTCTTGATGATCCGATAAATGGTTGATTTATGTGCAATCTTACTAGCAGCAATATCCTTGCCTGTGAAGCCCTTTTTGTGCAAAGCAATGATGACGCACGTGTTTCCTTGCAGTTAACCATGGTTAACAGAGGAAGAACAATGATTTCAAGCACCACCCTCCTTTTAAAGCTTCCAGTCTGTTATTCTAACTCAATCAGCATGACGTCCAGCCTTGTCCTCGTCAACACTCTCACCTGTGTTAACGAGAGAATCACTGACATGATGTCAGCTGGTCCTTTTGTGGCAGGGCTGAAATGCAGTGGCAATGTTTTTTTGGGATTAAGTTCATTTTCATGGCAAAGAGGGACTTTGCAATTAATTGCAATTCATCTGATCACTCTTCATAACATTCTGGAGTATATGCAAATTGCCATCATAAAAACTGAGGCAGCAGACTTTGTGAAAATTAATATTTGTCATTCTCAACTTTTGACCACGACTGTACTTGTTAGCTTTTATGATAGAATGTGCTTGTTAGGGTTAGTGTTGTCACAATACCAGGATCTTTACTTCGATGCCAGGTTTAGTATCACGATACTCAATAACAAAAACAAAGGCGTATTAGCCAAAGTCACAGAATGGCACTTGATCCAGACATATAAACTCAGCTTCTGCTGTGTTCAATGTGTTGGGCATCTTTTGAGTTCAATGTCATTACATTTGAAAATGTAGTATTTAAAAAATTTTGGGGACAGCCATGGATGCAATAATGAATCAATTATACAATCAATTTGACTTTGGTAAAAACAATCTAACTACAAAACGACAATGGTAATAATTTATTTGAATGGTGAATCTTTATGATAAACAAGATGTAGCCTAGGTCTATTCACAAAACAGGTGAATGCATATTATTCAATAGGAGTGTCTGCATGCATTGAATTATTGAGCTTGTAGCTGATTTCATGAGGCTACAGATGACAAACAATCCCTCCCATTTAGGACTTATTTGATTGGCAACTGCTTGGATTATTTTATTGTACTGATTAACAACATTTGCATAGAAGAAGCAATCTCTTCTTTTATAAAAGTGTGTGCTGTCTCTTTAAGAAAGTAATGACATCATTCACTGAGGCAGAACATGGCTATGGAATCTAGTGGAAACCAGACTGGAGGCAAGGTAGACGAAGAAGTTAATTTGTTTTTGTTGGCGAGGGAGTCTAAGTGAATTAATAAAGTTTTGGGTGACAAACAGCTTTACAATTAGCATATTTTTTGTTATGGTTATCATATTATCATAAACAAAGTACTAATAATAATAATAATATGCCATTTAGCAGACGCTTTTATCCAAAGCGACTTACAGTCATGCGTGCATACATTTTTGTGAATGGGTGGTCCCGGGGATCGAACCCACTACCTTTTGCGTTTCAAGCGCCGTGCTCTACCAGCTGAGCTACAGAGGACCACTAGGGTAGTGAATTGTTTGCTTCAGCTGTAAGCTAGCAAGGAAAGTTAGCCTACAATTAAAGCTGGAAGCTACTGGTATAGTCTTGCATTGTAAAAGTGTTCTAGCCTGTATGGACATTGTTTTGCGAACAGTAATGAACAGTTTCAACATTTCTACATGCCATGTTGCATTATAGAAAGTGTGTTAAACCTATCAGTCCCGAGCCCTCAGCAAAAATCGGCTTTTCATTTATCTGACTTCCATTTATCTGCATGTCCAGCCCCTTTATTTAGCCACACAATGAAATGATTTACCATGTTATTTTCAGGACAACCAGGGCTACAAGTAGAACATAAAACTATTCGACATAAACAGTTGCATTCATGAGTTTTTTATTGACAAATGTCAATAATAGAAATAAGGTCCACCAAAGCAAAAACCTGATAAAAATGAATTTATATGAATGCTGTAAGTACAGAAGGGGTATGCTCAGTGGGAAATTAATATCCAACTAGTCAGTGACCACTGTGTGGAGTTTGAAGTTTGTGACAGCAACTATGTGAGCCTGTTACAGCATTATAGACTCTAGGTCCTTGGATTTCCTATGATCTTATATGTAGAAGAACCCCTTTTAACGACGCTTGTGAGTGTCTTAGAGCAAAACATGTTACATGTTACATGTTCGTGAGAGTCTCAGCTTTTCATAGATAGATTTTAATAGTTTGTAGCTCTACAGATGTTTTTGTAAAAATGACCCGGCCCCAGGCCCCTTCTGGATCCGTATCACAAACACTTCTTTAGCTCAGCCTCACACAGACTAGTGGATGCAAAAGAAATCGATGAATCCAATGGTACAACCCATAAGTCTGTAGCTCAAACACACAATGTTTAAAAGGCGGCAGGTTGCCTAGCGGTTGGTCCAGTAACCGAAAGGTCTCTGGTTCTAATCTCTGAGCTGACTAGGTAAATCTGTCAATGTGCCCTTGAGCAAAGCACCTAACCCCAATTGTGTCTGCTAAATGACTAAAATGTAAAAGGGGTAAGAAGTCCTAAATCACGCTGTTGCGATGGTGGGACTCATTGGGTTAACTTCTAAGCAGCATTTGTTTATTTATTTGGGTCCCCATTAGCTTTTGCAGAAGCATCAGCTACTCTTCCTGGTGTGTACAAAAAACACAAAACATGACAAGTAACAAAATACTCATAGACAGGACAGTCACAAATTTAAAATACAATGATATACAAACAACAAAACCCAAACATTATACAAACAATACAATGACAACAAAATAATGTGTGTTAGTGTGTCTGTGTTTGTCCCCTCACAGTCCCCGCCGTTTCATGAGATTGTTAAAGGTAATTTTGCTGTAATTGGAGTTGGGAGTTCCATGTTATCATGGCTCTGTATAATACTGTGCGTTACCGTGAATTGATTTTGGACTTGGGGACTGTGAAAAGACCCCTGGGGGCATGTCTTGTGGGGTATGAATGGGTGTCTAAGCTGAATGTTATTTGATTATGCAGACAAGCTGGAGTTTTCATCACAGTAATATTTGTCATGAGAACTAGTAGATAAGCAGTTAATCTCTTGTCAACCCACAACCAGAAAAGACTGGCATGCCAGTGTGATTTAGGATGTTATTTCTGTTTGTGCAGTTAAGGGAAAGGCGTGCTGCTCTGTTTTGAGCCAGCTGCAGCTTTGCTAGGTCTTTCTTTTGTGCACTTGACCATATTGGCGCCGGAGGGGATGGCTGCCGTTTTACAGGCCCCTAACCAACTGTGCTATTTTGTTAGCTGGCGGGGTTTTCCATGCATTGGCAGGACAGAGAAGCTATGTCTGGTAAGATGAGGGGCGGGGGTGTGTGTCTATTTGTCAATAACAGCTGGTGCGCGATGTCTAATATTAAAGAAGTCTCAAGGTATTGCTCGCCTGAGGTAGAGTACCTTATGATAAACTGTAGACCACACTATCTGCGAAGAGAGTTGTCATCTATATTATTCGTAGCCGTCTATTTACCACCACAAACCGATGCTGGCATTAAGACCGCACTCAACGAGCTGTATAAGGCCATAAGCAAACAAGAAAATGCTTATCCAGATGCGACGCTCCTAGTGGCCGGGGACTTTAATGCAAGCAAACTTAAATCCGTTTGACCTAATTTCTACCAGCATGTCACATGTGCAACCAGAGGAAAAACAACTAGACCACCTTTTATTCCACACAAAGATGCATACAAAGCTCTCCCTCGCCCTCCATTTGGCAAATCTGACCATAATTATATCCTCCTGATTCCTGCTTACAAGCAAAAACTAAAGCAGGAAGTACCTCGCACAATACGGAAGTGGTCAGATAACGTGGATGCTACGCTACAGGACTGTTTTGCTAGCACAGACTGGAATATGTTCCGGGATTCATCCAATGGCATTGAGGAGTATACCACCTCAGTCATCGGCTTCATCAATAAGTGCATCGACGATGTCGTCCCCACAGTGACCGTACATACAGTTGAAGTCGGAAGTTTACATACACTTAGAATGGAGTCATTAAAACTCGGTTTTCAACCACTCTTGTTAACAAACTATCGTTTTGGCAAGTCGGTTAGGACATCTACTTTGTGCATGACACAAGTAATACACCATGGGACCACGCAGCTGTCATACTGCTCAGGAAGGAGACGCGTACTTTGGTGCGAAAAGTGCAAATAAATCCCAGAACAACAGCAAAGGACCTTGTGAAGATGCTGGAGGAAACGGGTACAAAAGTATCTATATCCACAGAAAAACAAGTCCTATATCGTCATAACCTGAAAGGCCGCTCAGCAAGGAAGAAGCCACTGCTCCAAAACCGCCATAAAAAAGCCAGATCGTACCTTTTGGAGAAATATCGACTGGTCTGATTAAACAAAACTAGAACTGTTTGGCCATAATGACCATCGTTATGTTTGGAGGAAAAAAGGGCTACTTGCAAGCCGAAGAACACCATCCCAACCGTGAAGCACGGGGGTGGCAGCATCATGCTGTGGGGGTGCTTTGCTGCTGGAGGGACTGGTGCACTTCACAAAATAGATGGCATCATGAGGAAGGAAAATTATGTGGATATATTGAAGCAACATCTCAAGACATCAGTCAGGAAGTTAAAGCTTGGTCGCAAATGGGTCTTCCAACTGGACAATGACCCCAAGCATACTTACAAAGTTGTGGCAAAATGGCTTAAGAACAACAAAGTCAAGGTATTGGAGTAGCCATCACAAAGCCCTGACCTCAATCCTATAGAAAATGTGTGGGCAGAACTGAAAAAGCATGTGCGAGCAAGGAGGCCTACAAACCTGACTCAGTTACACCAGCTCTGTCAGGAAGAATGGGCCAAAATTCAACCAACTTATTGTGGGAAGCTTGTGGAAGGTTACCCGAAATGTTTGACCCATGTTAAACAATTTAAAGGCAATGCTACCAAATACTAATTGAGTGTATGTAAACTTCTGACCCACTGGGAATGTGATGAAAGAAATAAAAGCTGAAATAAATCATTCTCTCTACTATTATTCTGACATTTCACATTCTTAAAATAAAGTGGTGATCCTAACTGACCTAAAACAGGGAATTTTTACTAGGATGAAATGTCAGGAATTGTGAAAAACTGAGTTTAAATGTATTTGGTTAAGGTGTATGTAAACTTCCGACTTCAACTTTACATATCCAACCAGAAGCCATGGATTACAGGCAACATCCGCATCGAGCTAAAGGCTAGAGCTGCCGCTTTCAAGGAGCGGGACACTAATCTGGACGCTTATAAGAAATCCGGCTACGCCCTCAGATGAACCATCAAACAGGCAAAGCGTCAATACAGGATTAAGATTGAATCCTACTACACCGGCTCTGACACTCGTCGGATGTGGCAGGGCTTGAAAACTATTACGGAATACAAAGGGAAACCCCAGCCGCGAGCTGCCCAGTGACGCGAGCCTACCAGACGAGCTAAATGCCTTTTATGCTCGCTTCGAGGCAAGCAACACTGAAGCATGCATGAGCGCACCAGCTGTTCCGGACGACTGTGTGATAACACTCTCGGTAGCCGATGTGAGCAAGACTTTTAAACGGGTCAACATTCACAAAGCCGCGGGGCAAGACGGATTACCAGGACGTGTACTCAAAGCATGCGCTGATCAACTGGCAAGTGTCTTCACTGACATTTTCAACCTCTCCCTGACCGAGTCTGTAATACCTACATGTTTCAAGCAGACCACCATAGTCCCTGTGCCCAAGGAAGAGAAGGTAACCTGCCTAAATGATTACCGCCCTGTAGCCCTCACGTTGGTAGCCATGAAGTGCTTTGAAAGGCTGGTCATGGCTCACATCAACAGCATCATCCCGGATACCCTAGACCCACTCCAATTCACAAAGCGCCTCAACAGATCCACAGATGACGCAATCTCAGTCGCACTCCACACTGCCCTTTCCCACCTGGACAAAAGGAACACCTATGTGAGAATGCTGTTCATTGATTACAGCTCAGTGTTCAACACCATAGTGCCCACAAACCTCATCACTAAGCTAAGGACCCTGGGACTAAACACCTCCCTCTGCAACTGGATCCTGGACTTCCTGACGGGCTGCCCCCAGGTTGTAAGGGTAGGCAACATCACGTCTGCCACTCTGATCCTCAACACTGGGGCCCCTCGGGTGCATGCTTAGTCCCTTCCTGTACTCCCTGTTCACCCACGACTGTGTGGCCAAACACGACTCCAACACCATCATTAAGTTTGCTGACGACACAACAGTGGGAGGCCTGATCACCGACAACGATGAGACAGCCTATAGGGAGGAGGTGAGAGAACTGGCCGTGTGGTGCCAGGACAACAACCTCTCCCTCAATGTGAGCAAGACAAAGGAGCTGATCGTGGACTACAGGAAAAGGTGGGCTGAACAGGCCCCCATTAACATCGACGGGGCTGTAGGGGAGCGGGTCGAGAGTTTAAAGTTCCTTGGTGTCCACATCACCAACAAACTATCATGGTCCAAACACACGAAGACAGTCGTGATGAGGGCACAACAACACCTTTTCCCCCTCAGGAGACTGAAAAGATTTGGCATGGGTCCCCAGATCCTCAAAAATGCACCCAAGTCATTGACTGTTCTCTCTGCTACCACACGGCAAGTCTAGGACCAAAAGGCTCCTTATCAGCTTCTACCCCCAAGCCATAAGACTGCTGAACAATTAATCTAATGGCCACTCAGACTATTTACATTGACCCCCTGATCTCACTGATCTATATACTACCCCACAATGTCAAAATTGAATTGTGTTTTTAGAAATGTTTACAAATTAATTAAAAATGAAAAGCTGTAGTGTCTTGAGTCAATAATTATTCAACCCTTTTGTTATGGCAAGCCTAAATAGGTTCAGGAGTAAAAATGTGCTTAACAACTCGCATAGTAAGTTGCATGGACTCTGTGCAATAATAGTGTTTAACATGATTTTTAAATGACTACCCCATCTCTGTACCCCACACATACAATTATCTGTAAGGTCCCTCTGTCGAGCAGGGAATGTCAAGCACAGATTAAACCCCAAAGACTAGGGAGGTTTTCCAGTGGTTCGCAAAGAAGGGCACATATTGGTAGATGGATAAAAAATAAATTAAAGCAGACATTGAATATCCCTTTGAGCATGGTGCAGTTATTAATTACACTTTGGATGGTGTATCAATACACCCAGTTACTACAAAGATACAGGAGCCCTTCCTAACTCAGTTGCCGGAGAGGAAGGAAACCACTCAGGGATTTCACCATGAAGCCAATAGTGATTTTAAAACTGAGTTTAATTGTTGTGATAGTAGATAACTGAGGATGCATCAACAACATTGTAGTTGCTCCACAATACTAACATAAATGACAGAGTGAAAATAGAGCCTGTACGGAATAATAATATTCCAAAACATGCATCCTGTTTGCAATAAGGCACTAAAGTAATACTGCAAGAAATGTGGAAAATAAATTATATTTTTGTTCTGAATACAAAGCGTTATGTTTGGGGCAAATCCAGCACAACACATCACTGAGTACCACTTCATATTTTCAAGGATGGTGGTGTCTGCATCATGTTATGGGTATGCTTGTCATCAGCAAGGACTAGGGAGTGTTGTTAGGATTTACATTTTACATTGTAGTCATTTAGCAGACACTGTTACCCAGAGAATCGAACCCACAACCCTGGCGTTGCAAGTGCCATACTCTACCAAGTGAGCCACATAAGACTAGGATAAAAATAAACAGAATAATGTATTTTTTTAAAAACGGAATAGATCTAAGCACAGGCAAAATCCTAGAGGAAAACTTGGTTCAGTCTGCTTTCCAACATACACTGGGAGAGACATTCACCTTTCAGCAGGACAATTCCTTAAAATACAAGGTCAAAATTTACATGTTCCTGAGTGGCCTAGTTACAGTTTTGACTTAAATCGGCTTGAAAATCTATGGCAAGAAAATGGCTGTCTAGCAATAATCAACAACCAACTTGACAGAGCTTGAAGAATTTTAAATAGAATAATGTGCAAATATTGTACAATCTAGGTGTGCAAAGCTCTTAGAGACTTACCCAGAAATACTCATAGCTGTAATCGCTGCCAAAGGTGATTCTAACATGTATTGACTCAGGGGGTTGAATACTTATCTAATCAAGATATATTAGTGTTTTATTTTCAATTTGGGAAAAAAAGTTAGAATTTTCCCTCCACTTTGACAGAGTATCTTTTGTAGATTGTTGACCTTTTTATTTTTTTTATTTTTTTTACAATTAAATCCATTTTAATCCCACTTTGTAACACAACAACATGTAGAAAAAGTAAAGGGGTGTGAATACTTTCTGAAGGCACTGTATCTGTTAGAGAAGCTACCGTTGAAGAACACTGGGCTTTATTGGATAAATAACTCCCACCATGTCATGGCAGGTGATGTAAAGCCATAGCAAGTGAGTTTTTTTCAATAACAATTCATGATCAATAACATCAAAGGCTGCACTGAAATCTAACAATACAGCTCCAACTATCATCTCATTATCCATTTATTTTAACCAATAATTTGTCATCTGAGTCAGTGCAGTACAAGTTGAGTACCCTTCTCTATGTGCATGCTGAAAGTCAGTAGTTAACTTGTTCTCTGAACAATAGCATTATATTTGGTCAAACACAATTCTCTCCATAGTTTTTACTAAGAACAGGCAGCAAACTGATTGGGCGGCTGTTAGAGCTTGCAGATGGTGCTTTACATTTTTTTTGTGTGTGACTATTTTACTTTAGCTTCCTACCACGCCTGTGGACACACTCCTTTCAGGCTTTGGTTAAAGATATAGCAAATAGGGGTGGCAATACAGTCTGCTACCATTCTCAATAGTTTGACTCATGGGTTAAGGTACTCAAGTCTTTTTCCATTTTGTTTTATGTCATTTATCTTGGTTTGGTAATATCATTTATTATTTTTGTTAAATTTAGTCACAAAATGTCTCAATTTACATTATGTCAACCAATCAGCTGAGCAGCCTGACTTGTTTGCCTTCTCTTTTGCATAATTTCTGCAGCATTAGTGAAGATATGATGTCACCGACATTATCCAAATACGCACTGTTAGCACTTGGTCGTCTATAGCACCACCCCATAAGAAGAGGCTTTAGATGAGGCAGGTGAATTTGCAACCACAACACTTCAACAACATTTAACATTAGATCCTCTCTAAGCTTTACAGGAATATGGCTCTGAACATATACATATATGTTATCTGATGTTAGCAAGCTATTGATTTCATGAACCTTATTTCTATGGCTACATACGCTGTGTACAAAACATTAAGGACACCTGCTCTTTCCATGACAGACTGACCAGGTGAATCCAGGTGAAAGCTATGATCCCTTATTGATGTCACTTGTTAAATCCACTTCAATCAGTGTAGATGAAGGGGAGGAGACAGGTTAAAGAAGGATATTTAAGTCTTGAGACAATTGAGACATGGATTGTGTATGTGTGCCGTTCAGAGGGTGAATGGCCAAGACAAGAGACTTAAGTGCCTTTGAAATGGGTATGGTAGTAGGTGCCAGGTGCACTGGTTTGTGTCAAGAACTGCAACGCTGCTTGGTTTTTCACGCTTAACAGTTTACCGTGTGTATCAAGAATGGTCCACCACACAAAGGAGATCCAGCCAACTTGACACAACTGTGGGAAGCATTGGAGTCAACATGGGCCAGCGTCCCTGTGGAACGCTTTTGACACCTTGTAGAGTCCATGCCCCGATGAATTGAGGCTGTTCTGAGGGCAAAAGGGAGGGGGGGTGCAACTCAATATTAGGAAGGTGTTCCTAATGTTTGGTATACTCAGTATATATTAATATGGGCTATTCTTAGCCCTTTCCTGGGTAGCTTATTGGAGATAAGTCAAATAAAAACATTGTTTAGCCTAATAGTCAGTCAATCAGGCAGTGAGTGTCAGTTGGTGTGTGTGTGTGTGTGTGATGTTGGGCTGAAGCTACTGACCCGGAATCTTGGCTCTTTCACTCCTCCCAGGCTTTTGGGAGGGAGGGTGGACAAATGAACTTGTCGTAGCGGCGGTAAACAATGTCCACACGCTCTCTGGCTGCTTTCATAGCTGGGATAACTTCTTTCCACCTCTTGTGCACAGCTTCAGAGAAGTCCTCGTTGAGATGTTGGTTCCTCTCAAGTTCTTGACTCTCTCCAGAACAGCCATCTTGTCCTTGAACCTTAGAAACTTGACCACTATCGGCCTGGGTCTGCCACCTGGGCTGGTTACAGGTTTTCCAGTCCTATGGGGCGCTTCACCTCAATTATCCATCTGCAGCTTTTCTGTGATAATTTTTCTCACTTTCTCCTCAGACTCCGTCCAGGTCTCATGTGGAGACTGGGATTCCATCCACAACAATGTTATTCCTTCTGGATTGTCCCTCTAGATCAGGGATCATCAACTAGATTCAGCCACGGGCCAATTTTTTTTTCTTTCTTGAGGGAATGGTCAGGGGGCCTGAACATAATAACAAATAATTTGTAGACTGCACAGGAGGTTGGTGGCACCTTAATTGGGGAGGAACGGGCTCGTGGTAATGGCTGGAGCGGAACAGGTGGAATGGTATCAAACACATGGTTTCCATGTGTTTGATGTTTTCATGTGTTTGATGCCATTCCATTCGCTCCGTTCCAGCTATTATTGTGAGCATCCTCCCCTGAGCAGCCTCTACTGGTAGACTTCAAACTGACCGCAAGAAGCCCAAACAGATATAACATTTATCTAAAACATTATCATTTCAAACCTTGCTTACATTTGTATACGATCACATATATCTCTCTTTTATACGGGGGAATACTTTGGAACAGATTTCCTAAATTAAAATCACTTGGAGCTGATTTGCTGGTGTTTTTACAGTCTTATGGCCAACTACAGTGGGGAGAACAAGTATTTGATACACTGCCGATTTTGCAGGTTTTCCTACTTACAAAGCATGTAGAGGTCTGTCATTTTTATCATAGGTACACTTCAACTGTGAGAGACGGAATCTAAAACAAAAATCCAGAAAATCACATTGTATGATTTTTAAGTAATTAATTTGCATTTTATTGCATGACATAAGTATTTGATACATCAGAAAAGCAGAACTTAATATTTGGTACAGAAACCTTTGTTTGCAATTACAGAGATCATATGTTTCCTGTAGGTCTTGACCAGGTTTGCATACACTGCAGCAGGGATTTTGACCCACTCCTCCATTCAGACCTCCAGATCCTTCAGGTTTCGGGGCTGTCGCTGGGCAATACGGACTTTCAGCTCCCTCCAAAGATTTTCTATTGGGTTCAGGTGGCTGGCTAGGCCACTCCAGGACCTTGAGATACTTCTTACGGAGCCACTCCTTAGTTGCCCTGGCTGTGTGTTTCGGGTCATTGTCATGCTGGAAGACCCAGCCACGACCCATCTTCAATGCTCTTACTGAGGGAAGGAGGTTGTTGGCCAAGATCTCGCGATACATGGCCCCATCCATCCTCCTCTCAATACGGTGCAGTCGTCCTGTCCCCTTTGCAGAAAAGCATCCCCAAAGAATGATGTTTCCACCTCCATGCTTCACGGTTGGGATGGTGTTCTTGGTGTTGTACTCATCCTTCTTCCTCCTCCAAACACGGCGAGTGGAGTTTAAACCAAAAAGCTCTATTTTTGTCTCATCAGACCACATGACCTTCTCCCATTCCTCCTCTGGATCATCCAGATGGTCATTGGCAAACTTCAGACGGGCCTGGACATGCGCTGGCTTGAGCAGGGGGACCTTGCGTGCGCTGCAGGATTTTAATCCATGACGGCGTAGTGTGTTACTAATGGTTTTCTTTGAGACTGTGGTCCCAGCTCTCTTCAGGTCATTGACCAGGTCCTGCCGTGTAGTTCTGGGCTGATCCCTCAACTTCCTCATGATCATTGATGCCCCACGAGGTGAGATCTTGCATGGAGCCCCAGACCGAGGGTGATTTAACCGTCATCTTGAACTTCTTCCATTTTCGAATAATTGCGCCAACAGTTGTTGCCTTCTCACCAAGCTGCTTGCCTATTGTCCTGTAGCCCATCCCAGCCTTGTGCAGGTCTACAATTGTATCCCTGATGTCCTTACACAGCTCTCTGGTCTTGGCCATTGTGGAGAGGTTGTAGTCTGTTTGTGGAAAGGTGTCTTTTATACAGGTAACGAGTTCAAACAGGTGCAGTTAATACAGGTAATGAGTGGAGAACAGGAGGGCTTCTTAAAGAAAAACTAACAGGTCTGTGAGAGCCAGAATTCTTACTGGTTGGTAGGTGATCAAATACTTATGTCATGCAATAAAATGCAAATTAATTACTTAAAAATCATACAATGTGATTTTCAGGATTTCTGTTTTAGATTCCGTCTCTCACAGTTGAAGTGTACCTATGATAAAAATTACAGACCTCTACATGCTTTGTAAGTAGGAAAACCTGCAAAATCGGCAGTGTATCAAATACTTGTTCTCCCCACTGTATAAAAAATATAACACTTGTTGTTTTTTGCTCAAATCTTTGGGGGCCAAATAAAGTCATCTGCCAGTTGGAGAACCTTGCTCTAGATAGTCTATTTTCCCAGTCATCTGTAATAATGATTCACAGACAGTGCTGATGTCATCTCCCGTGGATTTACAGTAAGTCTCTATCAGGTCATCCACCTCTCCCTAGCAGAACTGCAAACTGTTCTTAAGGTCTTGGACCTCTCTGATCAGATCGTCCATTCTTTTGTTAGTTGAGTCCACCAGTATTTGGACAAAGTTCTTGAAACTGTTTTCCTGTTGCTGTAACAATAGCTTGTAGACATATTTTTGTTGATTTTAAAAGATCATGCACCTGTGATAGCGAAACACTGTCCTCTCCATTACTCCAACCTTCTTTAACTTTGGGCGGCATGATCGTAGCAACATAGGCTAACACTGGTACTCCACGCAATTCCAACCAGCACAGCTCACAGGGTCTATGGAAACAGCAACAAACAGCAGGGATTTAAACAACCACAAGCCCGGGACTATCCGCGGTCCCAGCCACAAGGGCTAACTGCGTCGTGGGCTGTGTTCAAACTGTCAAGGAAATCTGGCTAGCATGATAGCTAGCAGTTAGGCAGGCTGCTTCGCCAAGCAGCAGCTCTTTTAGGGTTTGGCAGTGTCCCAGCAACTGAGGTTAACCGCGTCGCGGGATCCAAATTAAATGGGTAGGCTAGTAAACAATTTGTTTTTTCAAGGAAAAACTTTTCCAGAAACGTTCAAAACAACCAAACGAGCTCTCTCTCATTCCGCATTCAGCATGCGTCGCGCTATGAAGCATGAGTGTTCGCATGAGTGGGGAGCTAACATTGCAGCCCAGACAGCTCTAGCAATGAATGAGTGATCCTTTTAATGCGTAAATTCGTATAGACACGCTTGCTTTGCCCTTATGTTGGTGGTAGCAAGCAGGCTAGGTAGTGCTAGGTATCAACAGCCAATCCAGTAGGGGCTGGAAACTATAGTGAGCTTCGATTGGTCAATAGCAACTCGATGTCGCGGAGTACGCGACAAAAGTTCAGATTTCCCCGCCCTGTTCAACGATCCCTCGCCCTCGCATTGAAAATGAATGGGGCTCCGTTGTTCGTTGTTTAATCGCCCCCCAATGATGGGTTTCCAGTGTAAGTGAAGCAGGCATTTTGCTCTTCTCTCTATAAAGGGGCTGCACTGATAGACGGATCTGATCCTCTCAATCACATGAGACACATTTGACAGAACTATCAAACATAACCAAAATTCTAGTATAAAACTGTTTTTTGGGCGGTATAACAAAAGTACAGAAGTTTCGGTATGCTGTGTAACACTAGTTAGGGTAGAGTGGAATTAGGACACTCTTTTGGCTTTGAGAGTGTTGAGTATTTGAGTGGATTGCACACTCATTAGAGGTCCTCCCAGGGGCTTTAGGAGTGTAGTGTGGGAGCTAGAGGGGTATGTTATGGTGGAGAGAAGACGCTGTGCCAACAAGAATCTTTACTGTCCCCCCCCTCCCCCTGTGACAGCTCAGATGGTAGGATTAGGGCGAGCTCAACCACCCAGCTCAGCTGAATTAGGCAGAAATTAACATGGGATCACATATCACTGACACAGACATGGAGAGGGGGGGTAAACTGAGGGATTTGGAAGCACAGACAGGACTCATTGTCAGTCACAAGCACAGCACAAACACTCCCACCCCCTTGGCCCCTTTGTGCGCACATACACAGAGTGAAGAGCTCTCTAGCTGAGGTATGTTAGTTGGGGATGTAGAGACCGAGTGTATGTGCTGGGCTGGGCACGGTTTAGAATCAATACAGTGTACCTCCCTGTGCCAGCAAACAGACAGAGAGAGACTTGGTGCTAACCTTCCCCTGGTGGCTACAGGCTCTGCACCCCCTTATAGATCCATTAGACAAGTCACTGGGGAAGGTAAGATAAGAACCGGGGACGTATTCATTAGTGCACGCTGTAGCAAAACATTTTGTAACGGCAAATGAGCAGTTCTCATTGGACAAGTCCACATAGTCCCTTCCTGTTTCAACCCGTTTTCTTACAATTGATGCTTAAATGAATACGACCCAGGCCTCACGTGAATTAGGACTGACTGGGACAGGTGAAGGTATTCAGAAACACAACTGCAGGTCAAGCTTAATTATGGGCTTTATTAACACACTGGGAGGAAAGAACAGCAGTCCACTCCAAACTATCCTCCTTGTTCTCTCTTTCCCAGCCACGCAGACACATTGAGAGCAGAGTAGAGTAGAGTTATTTTTGGAGTTCTGAGAGGAGATTTGATGCGTGTTGTGTTTGTGTTCAGAGAGTTAGTTTGGCCTGACTCTGCTCTGCTGTGGATGTCAGGCAGGGCTCACTCAAGGGGCCCTTTTGGTGTGTGTGTGTGTTTAATCCTATGACTGACTATGTTGATGGTGTTTTCAGGATCAGGTAAAGTAGTTGACTCATGCTTCATGCTTGGTAAGTTAGCTCTTTCCTGTAATTCACTCTGGTTTAAGTATGAAGGGTGTCCTTTCCTTCTGGCCCTGGTTAGGTGTTGTGGTGGAAATAGGTCTAGCTGGTGTTTATGGGATAGAGCTGTGTAGCGCTGCTGCTCTAAACCAGTCCAGCTGTGTGCTATCTGAGAGAGGTAGAGAGGAGGGATGGCCTCAGTCCGGGGAGATGGCCTCAGTCCGGGGAGATGGCCTCAGTCCAGGGAGATGGCCTCCCACTGAGTGAGAGGAGAGGAGGGTCAACTCTTTCACGCGGTCATCACACACACCCTTGACGAGTGAAGCAGACACACCAACATTATTCAGTCATACACAATCTTCAGCCTGTCGCAGGTGCTGGTGTCTCTGTCACGGACACTAGTCCTGTTAGATCTGCCAGCTGCTCTGTTGACGCACGCACACGAGGACCATAGAGTTGGATGATGCTGTGAAGACTCTAGAACAAAATGCATAATTTACCTTAATTTCACTCTCAAACTCAAAGGGCAGGGTTTTGAAAGCAGGGAGAGGGGAAAAGGAGAACACGGAGAGCAGAGTGGGAGAGTGGATTTAATTGGATGCTCTTGGCACAGCGTTTAAGCAAACATGGTATGGAAATTCATACCATACCATTAACGTACTGTGCCTTCAAAAAGTATTCAAACCCCTTGACTTTTTCCACATTTTGTTGTTACAAAATGGGATTAAAATGGATTTAATTGGCATTTTCTGTCAACGATCTACACAAAATACTCTGTCAAAGTGGAAGAAAAATTCTAACATTTGTAAAAAAAATAAAAATAAATAAATAAATAAATAAATAAATATCCAGCCGATTTTAAGTCAAAACTGTAACTAGGCCACTCGGGAACATTCAATATCGTCTTGGTAAGCAACTCCAGTATATGTTTGGCCTTGTGTTTTAGGTTATTGTCCTGCTGAAAGGTGAATTCATCTCCAAGTGTCTGTTGGAAAGTAAACTGAACCAGGTTTTCCTCTAGGATTTTGCATGTACTTAGCTCTATTCCATTTATTTTTATCCCCAAAAAACTCCCTAGTCCATGCCGATGACAAGCATACCCATAATATGATGCAGAAAAGTGGGACTCAGTGATGTTGTGTTGGATTTGTTCCAAACATAATGCTTTGTATTCAGGACATAAAGTTAATTTCTTTGCCACATTCTTTGCAGTTTTACTTCAAATCAAATGTATTGGTCACATACACATGGTTAGCAGATGTTAATGCGCGTGTAGCGAAATGCTTTATTGCCTTATTGGAAACAGGATGCATGTTTTGGAATATTTTATTCTGTATAGGCTTCCTTCTTTTCACTATGTCAATTAGGTTAGTATTGTGGAGTAAATACAATGTTGATCCATCCTCAGTTTTCTCCTATCACAGCCATTAAACTCTGTAACTGTTGTAAAGTCACCATTGGCCTCATGGTGAAATCCCTGAGTGCTTTCCTTCCTCTACGGAAACGGACTTAGGAAAGACACCTGTATCTTTGTAGTGACTGGGTGTATTGATACACCACCCAAAGTGTAATTAATAACTTCATCATGCTCAAAGGGATATTCAATGTCTGCTTAAAAAAAAAAAAAACATTTACCAATAGGTGCCCTTCTTTGCGAGGCATTGGAAAACCTCCCTGGTCTTTGTGGTTGAATACTCCCGAGTGGCGCAGTGGTCTAAGGCACTGCATCGCAGTGCTAGCTGTGCCACTAGAGATCCTGGTTCGAGTCCAGGCTCTGTCGCAGCCGGCCGCGACCGGGAGACCCATGGGCGGCGCACAATTGGTCCAGCGTCGTCCAAGGTAGGGGAGGGTTTGGCCGGCAGGGATGTGGATTCGTTTCCCACGGGGGGCCAGTATGAAAAAACAAAAAACAAAACAAACAAAAAAACATGTATGCATTCACTAAACTGTAAGTCGCTCTGGATAAGAGCGTCTGCAAAATGTAAAATGTAAATGTAATGTGTGTTTGAAATTCAATGCTCGCCTTAGGGATCTTAAAGATAAATTGTATGTGTGGGGTACAGAGATGAGGTAGTCATTCAAAAATCATGTTAAACACTATTATTGCACACAGTGAGTCCATGCAACTTATGTGACTTGTTAAGCACATTATTACTCCTGAACTTCTTCAGAAAATGGCTGTCTAACAAAGGGTTTTAATACTTATTGACTCAAGACATTTCAGCTTTTCATTTGTAATTAATTTGTAAACATTTCCAAAAACATGATTCCACTTTGTACAGTGAGGGGAAAAAAGTATTTGATCCCCTGCTGATTTTGTACGTTTGCCCAATGACAAAGAAATTATCAGTCTATAATTTTAATGGGAGGTTTATTTGAACAGTGAGAGACAGAATAACAACAACAAAATCCAGAAAGACGCATGTCAAAAATGTTATAAATTGATTTGCATTTTAATGAGGGAAATAAGTATTTGACCCCTCTGCAAAACATGACTTAGTACTTGGTGGCAAAACCCTTGTTGGCAATCACAGAGGTCAGAAGTTTCTTGTAGTTGGCCACCAGGTTTGTACACATCTCAGGAGGGATTTTGTCCCACTCCTCTTTGCAGATCTTCTCCAAGTCATTAAGGTTTCGAGGCTGACGTTTGGCAACTCGAACCTTCAGCTCCCTCCACAGATTTTCTATGGGATTAAGGTCTGGAGACTGGCTAGGCCACTCCAGGACCTTAATGTGCTTCTTCTTGAGCCACTCCTTTGTTGCCTTGGCCGTGTGTTTTGGGTCATTGTCATGCTGGAATACCCATCCACGACCCATTTTCAATGCCCTGGCTGAGGGAAGGAGGTTCTCACCCAAGATTTGACGGTACATGGCCCCGTCCATCGTCCCTTTCATGCGGTGAAGTTGTCATGTCCCCTTAGCAGAAAAACACCCCCAAAGCATAATGTTTCCACCTCCATGTTTGACGGTGGGGATGGTGTTCTTAGGGTCATAGGCAGCATTCCTCCTCCTCCAAACATGGTGAGTTGAGTTGATGCCAAAGAGCTCCATTTTGGTCTCATCTGACTACAACACTTTCACCCAGTTCTCCTCTGAATCATTCAGATGTTCATTGGCAAACTTCAGACGGGCATGTATATGTACTTTCTTGAGCAGGAGGACCTTGCGGGCGCTGCAGGATTTCAGTCCTTCACGGCGTAGTGTGTTACCAATTGTTTTCTTGGTGACTATGGTCCCAGCTGCCTTGAGATCATTGACAAGATCCTCCCGTGTAGTTCTGGGCTGATTCCTCACCGTTCTCATGATCATTGCAACTCCACGAGGTGAGATCTTGCATGGAGCCCCAGGCCGAGGGAGATTGACAGTTATTTTGTGTTTCTTCCATTTGCGAATAATCGCACCAACTGTCACCTTCTCACCAAGCTGCTTGGCGATGGTCTTGTGTAGGTCTACAATCTTGTCCCTGACATCCTTGGAGAGCTCTTTGGTCTTGGCCATGGTGGAGAGTTTGGAATCTGATTGATTGATTGCTTCTGTGGACAGGTGTCTTTTATACAGGTAACAAACTGAGATTAGGAGCACTCCCTTTAAGAGTGTGCTCCTAATCTCAGCTCGTTACCTGTATAAAAGACACCTGGGAGCCAGAAATCTTTCTGATTGAGAGGGGTTCAAATACTTATTTCCCTCATTAAAATGCAAATCAATTTAAATAATTTTTTATGTGTTTTTCTGGATTTTGTTGTTGTTATTATGTCTCTCACTGTTCAAATAAACCTACCATTTAAAATTATAGACTGATCATTTCTTTGTCAGTGGGCAAACATACAAAATCAGCAGGGGATCAAATACTTTTTTCCCTCACTGTATTGTGTGTAGAACAGTGACTAAAAAGTATACATTTAATCGATTTAAAATTCAGGCTATAACACAAAATGTGGAAAAAGTCCAGGGATGTGAATACTTTCTGAAGGCACTATATCTCTAATACCAACACTGTCTGGATCCTAGCTGTTTTATCAACATTATAGCTTTGATCCTCAGCTAGAATAACGTCCTTCCAAGGCACAAGCGCCAGCTGCATTGCATGACTTTCAATGTTTCCAACGTGAGAGCATTAATGCTAGTTGTCAATACTGATGCCAGTAGTGTCATGGCTGACCTGTGGACCATTCTCGACCGTACTCTGACCGTTTTGTGACTGTGCTGCGTTTGTTTTACAGGGACATTCCCGTGGACTTCAAGTACATCGCAGAGCCTAGTATGCACTCTATGCCTGCTGTAACGCTCTCACCCAATGGTGAGTGGACGCACGCACGCACACACACACACACACACAGCTTTTTATTGTACCATTCCCCTCCTTCATACCCTTCCCCTCCATCCTTCTCCCCCATCCTCTCATCCCCATATCTCCCTCTGAGCTGTGTTCATATATTTGTCCTAAAATGGATTGTTTCTCATTAGTCTAAATAACAGATTAACTCTCACTGGGAGAGCAGCCGACTCAACTCTGTCCCCCACAGCTCCACTCCTAAAGGGTAGCCAGGCTGCAGCGCTAGCTGGGAGCGTTTCTTCCTCTATACTTCTTATTTTCTCTCCACTAACAAAAGAGAGCCCAGTTGTATTTATCAGTTTCTCGTCCACCTACAGCGGTTGGCATTTTGGGATAATGGCATCCTTTTATGTGGGTTTGTTAGGGAGGCACTCGGAAAGGCAGGACACACATGCACACACGGGGGAGTGCACACATGCACACAAACAGTGGAGCTCACGCACATGCGCGCACACACACTGTGGAGCACACACTGCACCCGATGTCACAGGAAGGCCAAAAATATCATGAAGGACATCAACCACCCGAGTATATACTGTATTCTATTCTACTGTATTTTAGTAAATGCTCATCCTAATATTTATATATTTCTTAATTCCATTCTTTTACTTTTAGATTTGTGTGTATTGTTGTGAATTGTTAGATACTACTGCACTGTTGGAGCTACACCCTCAATAACATCTGCTAAATAAGTGTATGTGACCAATACAATTTGATTTGATTTATTACTGAGTCCTAGTGTCGGAGTAGAGAGACAGGAAGTTTGCTAGCTAACAGAACGTCTGTGAAGCTGACATCAAAGTTGCATCCCAAATGGCACCCTATTGAACAGGGCCCAAAGTAGTGCATATATATAGGGAATAGGGTGCCATTTGGGACGTAGCCCAAGTCAGCATTCGGTCATCAAAAGTATTTTCATTCTTTCCAAAGTGCTTGGCTTAATCTTTCTCTCTCAGGCGGTTACAGAGAAGAGCTGCTAGTGTCTACTGGGGTGGTCCACTCCTATGGGTTCACATTCTCAATCTGTTGTACGAGACATTTCTATCATTCATTTTTTTAGCTTAATCCCATTCCAAATAAAACCGAGCCCCTTGATAATGCATTGGCTGATTTTCACACTCTGAAAAAGGTTGAACAGAAAGGTGTTGTTTTGAAATACCGTGGTCCAGGCCCACTGCTCACTGGAGAAGACATGGGGGTCAACCCCTAACATCAGCATGCTCTAACTAAAACTCAGAAGAACTCAAAATAACTTAAAAATAAAATAAAAAATCTAAATGTTATTGTATTTTCTCCCCCTGTAGGTAAGTGGCTGGCCTGCCAGTCCATGGACAATCAGATCCTGATATTTGGAGCCCAGAACCGTTTCCGTCTGAACAAGAAGAAGATCTTCAAGGGCCACATGGTGGCTGGCTACGCCTGCCAGGTGGACTTCTCCCCAGACATGAGGTAAGACAACACCATCCTATACATTAGTGCAAATGGTAGCAAAATGGTTTGCAACGGAAACAATTGTTGTTTTTTACCAGAAAACATACATAGACCGAATACAATAGATGGATGCACACAAATTCCAACAAACAATGACATCACACCTGCTCAAACTCACATGTTCCCACCACATCCATACCCATTACGTTTGTCTCACTCCAACATTCCCTCTCATTCTTCATACCTTGGGCGTTTCCAGTGCTTGTAAAACTATGCCATATGGCCTCAAACTGCGCTGTTCTATTTCTCTCTGTAGCCCAAATTTGTTCAATATTTAAATAATAATGCCTTTGATTCATCCACTGTCTTAATGATGGAGGATCATTTGAATTCTTCCATAGGGTTTTTTATTTTTATTTATTTCACCTTTATTTAACCAGGTAAGCCAGTTGAGAACAGGTTCTCATTTACAACTGCGACCTGACAACAGGGTTGTGTTGTTAGGGAGTGATATTGGTTCTTACAGAATACGTTTCATTTTCTTCCATATTGTTATAGTGTTCTTAACTATGAAGAAGTTGTTAAAGTTCTTAGCTTTATCCTTAGAAAATAGACATGTAAAAAGATACTGGGGATGAGCATGCACATCTTCAAGATCCCTCTGTAAGATCCCTCAGTCAAGCAGTGAATTTCAACCACAAAGACCAGGGAAGTTTACTAATGCCTCGCAAAGAAGGGCACCTATTGGTAGATGGGTACAAATAGAAAAACAGACTGCATATCCCTTTGAGCATGGTGCAGTTATTACACTTTGGATGGTGTACCAATACACTCAATCACTACAAAGATACAGGCGTCCTTCCAAACTCAGTTGCCGGAGAGGAAGAAAACTCAGGGATTTCACCATGAGGCCAATGGTGACTTTAAAACTGTTACAGAGTTTAATGGCCGTGATAGAAAACTGAGGGTGGATCAACAACATTGTAATTACTCCACAATACAAACCTAAAGGACAGAGTGAAAAGAATAACAAATATTCCAAAACCTGCATCCTGTTTTGCAATAAGGCACTAAAGTAAAATAGCAAAAAATGTGGCAAAGAAATTAACTTTGTCCTGAATACACACATTATGTTTGGGGCAAATCCAACATAACACATCACTGTGTGCCACTCTTCATATTTTCAAACATGGTGGTGGCTACATCATTTTATGGGTATGCTTGTCATCGGCAAGGACTAGAACGTTTTTTTGGATAAAAATAAACTGCATAGAGCTAAGCACAGGCAACATCCTAGCAGAAAACCTGGTTCAGTCTGCTTTCCAACATACACTGGGAGACAAATTCACCTTTCAGCAGGACAATAACCAAAACACAAGGCCAAATATATACTGGAGTTGCTTACCAAGACGACATAGAATGTTCCTGAGTGTTACAGTTTTGACTTCAATGTGCTTGAAAATCTATGGCAAAAAAATGGCTGTCTCCCTATGTAATGAAGATATATGCGTTTTTGTTGTTTTTTTACAAATGTTTTTCCTTCCACTTTGACATTTCACAGTATTTTGTGTAGATCGTTGACGAAAAGTGGGGGAAAAAAAGTATTTAGTCAGCCACCAATTGTGCAAGTTCTCCCACTTAAAAAGATGAGAGGCCTGTAATTTTCATCATAGGTACACGTCAACTATGACAGACAAATTGAGAAAAAAAATCCAGAAAATCACATTGTAGGATTTGTAATTATTTTATTTGCAAATTATGGTGGAAAATAAGTATTTGGTCAATAACAAAAGTTTCTCAATACTTTGTTATATACCCTTTGTTGGCAATGACACAGGTCAAACGTTTTCTGTAAGTCTTCACAAGGTTTTCACACACTGTTGCTGGTATTTTGGCCCATGCCTCCATGCAGATCTTCTCTAGAGCAGTGATGTTTTGGGGCTGTCGCTGGGCAACACGGACTTTCAACTCCCTCCAAAGATTTTCTATGGGGTTGAGATCTGGAGACTGGCTAGGCCACTCCAGGACCTTGAAATGCTTCTTACGAAGCCACTCCTTCGTTGCCCGGGCGGTGTGTTTGGGATCATTGTCATGCTGAAAGATCCAGCCACGTTTAATCTTCAATGCCCTTGCTGATGGAAGGAGGTTTTCACTCAAAATCTCACGATACATGGCCCCATTCATTCTTTCCTTTACGCGGATCAGTCGTCCCGGTCCCTTTGCAGAAAAACAGCACCAAAGCATGATGTTTCCACCCCCATGCTTCACAGTAGGTATGGTATTTCTTTGGATGCAACTCAGCATTCTTTGTCCTCCAAACACGACGAGTTGAGTTTTTACCAAAAAGTTATATTTTGGTTTCATCTGACCATATGACATTCTCCCAATCCTCTTCTGGATCATCCAAATGCACTCTAGCAAACTTCAGACGGGCCTGGACATGTACTGGCTTAAGCAGGGGGACACGTCTTGCACTGCAGGATTTGAGTCCCTGGCGGCGTAGTGTGTTACTGATGGTAGGCTTTGTTACTTTGGTCCCAGCTCTCTGCAGGTCATTCACTAGGTCCCCCGTGTGGTTCTGGGATTTTTGCTCACCGTTCTTGTGATCATTTTGACCCCATGGGGTGAGATCTTGCGTGGAGCCTCAAATCGAGGGAGATTATCAGTGGTCTTGTATGTCTTCCATTTCCTAATAATTGCTCCCACAGTTGATTTCTTCAAACCAAGCTGCTTACCTATTGCAGATTCAGTCTTCCCAGCCTGGTGCAGGTCTAAAATTTTGTTTCTGGTGTCCTTTGACAGCTCTTTGGTCTTGGCCATAGTGGAGTTTGGAGTGTGACTGTTTGAGGTTGTGGACAGGTGTCTTTTATACTGATAACAAGTTCAAACAGGTGCCATTAATACAGGTAACGAGTGGAGGACAGAGGAGCCTCTTAAAGAAGAAGTTACAGGTCTGTGAGAGCCAGTAATCTTGCTTGTTTGTAGGTGACCAAATACTTATTTTTCACCATAATTTGCAAATAAATTAATAAAAAATCCTACAATGTGATTTTCTGGATTATTTTTTCTTAATTTGTCTGTCAGGCCTCTCTCATCTTTTTAAGTGGGAGAACTTGCACAATTGGTGGCTGACTAAATACTTTCCCCCCCCCACTGTACCTACTGGACTCAACCCAGGGGTTTATGTTAGCAAAGGGTTTTGAGGAAGACATTTTGGAAACTTCAGGGGGAGCGAGAAGTAGCATCCCCCAAGCAGGTAATATTGTGTATATCCAGAAACTGACTCGCCTCTCTCTACTTCCCTCTCTGAAACTAGTCCTTCATTCAGTTACTGTTTCTGAGGACATCCTGTACTTAGAGAGCTAACCAGGCCATTTACATGCACTAATTTTAGCACAAACCCCAACTAAGAACCCACTCACCCCTATCAGCAGGTGCCTTCACTTCTCTCTCTTAGTAACCATGGAAACAGCAAGTAACCCCTGCTTCGAGCAGAGACCCAAATTCACACCACCTCTCAGGTGAAATGGAACAGGAGTCATTTTTAGCAGGGAGCCTAACCTCTATCTCTCCTCCCATCTCTCCCTCCCTCCCTCTCTCTCTCTCCTGTAGCTATGTGGTGTCTGGCGATGCGGATGGGAAGCTGAATATCTGGGACTGGAAGACCACCAAGCTGTACCACCGGATCAAGGCCCACGACAAGGTGTGCATCAGTGCCTTGTGGCACCCCCATGAGACCTCCAAGGTCATCACCTGTGGCTGGGACGGACTGATCAAACTTTGGGACTAGAGACGTGGGGGGGCCGGGGAGTGGGGGCTCCAGTGACTCCCTCTCTTCAGGGGGAGAGGAGTTGGTCTTTCTGTCTCATGTATTTTCCCTAATTTAATGGCAGGCTGAAAGCCATAGGGCTGGTATCCAGTCCTGTTGTAACACAGTGTATATTTCTACCCCATCTGAAGAGGGGACATTGTTGACAGCGGTGTATACATAGAAAGATAAACATTCTCTCACAGTGTGTTAGTTGTATTTAGAGGGTTTCTCAACCCTTACATGCTCTTTTAGTTTAATGTTTTAATCATTGATGTCCATATCATTCACACAATATTTTTTTTTGAAAATATTCAGTTTTCCCCTTATTTTTCAATGTATGTCCCTTTTGTGAAATTAAACATTTTATAAATTTTGCCTGTCAAGAAATTGCTTGTCCTTTTGTCAAGTCGTTTTATACTTCCATCTTTTGCCGTTGAAGGTCATGTTTCCGTCAAGTGTATTAGGATTTCTTCTCTTTAGTAACAGTTCCCTTCTCACCATTAAATCCACACAAACCCAATCTGAAGAGAGAAGTGTAGACAAGTCACTATTTCCCTAAGTGTCTTTATAGACTCATCAAAAGATCAGGGGTATACATTTTTAATTGAAAGAGTTTTCAGAATGTATTAATCCATAAAATGTAAGCCTGAACAGTCTAGAATTTTGTAATACATTTGGTGACAAAGTAGTTGGAAAGCTGCAGAGAAAAGTAAAGAAGAGAGACTGAATGATTGAGTCAGAAAGATTGACTCAATCTCTGTCTCCCTTTACTTCTCTCTGCAGCTTTCCAACTACTTTTCAGAGGGGGTTTGTGTGGATTTAATGGTGAGAAGGGAACTGTTACTAAAGAGAAGAAATCCTAATGCACTTGACGGAAAACGGTTTGAGAAAGAGTGGGAGTTGTGGCGGCTGGATTGACATTTTCTATTATTCAAATTCTGTAGAGGGAGAGACCATACTATTGCCTCAGGAAACTGCTCATTATAGCTGCAGTTAAGGTTACATACTAACACAGATTTCACCATCTTTGGTATTAGCTATCCGAATCATCCTGATTCAATATTTGCTCAGGCAGACCCGGTCTCCTTACAACTTGGCATACATCGTTTCCTTAAGTCTTTTCAAAGTCCCAGTTTAATGTGAAGTGTCATAGATGTTAAATGTGTATTGACATAAGACGAGTGAGGCAATTCTGAGGGGATTCTTCACATACTTGATAGTTGTTTTCCCCTTTTAACCTACACACAGTACAGTGACCATGTCTGTTGAAACCAAGGTAGTGTCGTTCTCTGGGTAGACGGTCACGTCTTTGTCTCTCTTCAGGAGGCATATTGTCTGTCCTGCCAGGCAAACGTTTGAGCCTTTACCTTCCACCTCCAGCCCCCTTCCCCTCCCCCCCCCCCTCCTGCCTCGTAAGTAGCCTCCCACAGAAACTCATCCCTGGGCTAAATGAGGCGTGCTCAGCCTCAGTCTTGACAGCTACTCCCCCAGCCCTATGTACCCTTTTTAATGCAGAAGATCCTGAGGACAATTTGAGGCTATTAGTTTGGGCTGTGGTCTTACCTCACTATTCATTACCCATGCCTCTGAGGAGAATTCTCCAGGAGGGGGTGGATGTATCTGTCTCTGTTAGGGGTGGCTGGCTCAGGGCCAAGCCCAGATAAGGCCATGATGACAGATGGCCGCCGCAGTGCTCGCCGGCTGACCTCAAACCAACACAGAACACAGCCACTTTGAAGCAGCTCTGACCGAAAGATGGACTTTGGGCCTTCGAGGCAATTACCTCACAAAGACTAAGGTCATATCAGGGAAGGGTAGGGGAGTGGTGATTCAAAATTTTGAAATGATAGGAGCTTGTTAGGAGGACAGTATAGCTCACAACACTTTACATAAACCTTCATAGATAGAGGCATTCCTTTTCTGGAGTACAGTACTTTGGTTAGCATGAAAAATCTGGTATTGGTCAGAAATAAATATCCAAAGGGAAACATCCCATGGGATTGACGACGACGCTGTTTCCCATCGTACCTGAACTGCGTTTCCCAGAATGCATTTCCCAGAGTCTCCCCTTCTCATTGGCCAGAGCCCTGTCCATCAGTCAGTCAGCTCTCAGGGCCTCCACTGAGTATTGACCCAGCCCAGTGTATAGGTACTGCTGGCATTCAGAATGTTTCGGTGCAGGAAGAGGCGGGGCTTTGCTGGGTCGCTGTGGTAACGGAAGAGGCGGAAGTGAGCATGCTCCAGCTCCTTCAGTAGGCTGAACCAATAGCGCACCACGGATGGGTCGTCTCCGCCCACCTCGAAGCCCGCCCAGTGGAGGTGGATTTCTAGTAGTAGCTGACCCACAGAGCTCAGAACCCCTTCTAGAACCAGGTTCTCTAGAATCTTCCACTCCGCACTCTCCATGTCTGCCTTCAGAACATCCACCTGAAACAGAGAGGGAGCGAGTGTCAATAATGATAATATCTAGCAATAGGGAGAAATATAAGATGGAAAGTGTGGAAAAGTACTTTTGATGGAGGTGAGGGGGAGTTAGTGCAAAGAGGGAGAGAGAAGGTTGGTAGAAGGACAAGTAGAAAAAAGGATGTGTCTGAGTAGAGGAGGAGGGAGGATATGATGGGGAGAGGGGGTGAATGTGGTGTAAAGTCTGTGAAGAGGAGAGGGGGAGGAAAGATGCTTTAACATTAATGTTAATAATGGCCTCAGGACATGATCTTACTGAGTCATCAAATGCATGGGCTACTTTCAATGCACATACTGTATATTAGGCCTTGGGACGCCATTTAAAGGTCCAATGCAGCTGTTTTTATCTCAATATTAAATAATTTCTGGGTAACAATTAAGTACATTACTGTGATTGTTTTCAATTAAAATTGTCTTAGCAAAGAGCAATTTCTCAAGCAATAATTTTTATAGGACTGTCTGGGAGTGGTTTTGAGTGGGGAGGGAAAAACTGAAAATGATCTGTTATTAGCAGAGAGGTTTGGAACTTCTTATTGGTCCGCATGGTGATGTCACCATGGAAGGCCAAAACTCCCTTCCACCAAAACAAGCTGAGATTTCAGGCGGTCTTTTCAAACAGCAATTACACTAAAATGGCATTGTCATAATTTTCACAATTTCACAGTATTATTCCAACCTCATAGTGTAGAAATATATATAAATATATATATAAATCTGTTTTTTTGCCTGCACTGGGCCTTTAAATGTGCTGTAATATTTCTGATGTCATGTCAACTCCTTGAACCCATACTGTTTAAAAGCCTTATTAGTGAAAGAGCTTTCTTCTCTATGCTTTTGACATTTTATTTCACCAATTTATTCTCTCCTCTGTACTTTACTACCCTCTCTTTGGCCGATTGCCTCATGGCCTCATAACATCACCATTGGCAACTTCCAATGCTGCCAATAAAATGTGTCAATAGTTGACCCAAACTTTCCACAAACCAATCATATTTATCTAATCTGTCTTCCAGCACACTAGTGTTACGCTGATGCAAGTGTTGAGTATCTGACCTGTCGAACAGAAAAACACTTCTTCAATGGCTAGAGTAAAATAACCACTTTAGCTGGCTGGCTCTCTAACAGCCCATATCCACTATCCCATAGCCACTCCATCCCTCTGACAAAGTGCTAACAACACTTTACACCGTTCTATTTCTTTAGTGACTGTGGAAATCCCTTTTCTCGTTATTCCCCACATTCCATAAAAGCAGCTATCCCCCCAGATAGAACTGGTCAAAATGAAGTGCTCTCTGTCTCTGGGTCTCCCAATGAAAACGATCCCTCCCCAAGGCAATATAAATTGTTCTAATTGGACAGACGTCATAAAATGAGAACTGCCCTAACCAACAAGGATGTTATGACCAAATCCCATAATGTTTCTACTCAATAGAGACTTTTCTCAGGGTATGTAATGAGTAGGCCTACTTTCAGTAACTTCATTCTATTTGACAGCTTTCTTCTCCAAGTTCTGTCATCAACTGGCATGCAAGGCAAATCCCAAGGACTTCACGACACATATCCCTCTCGAAGTCCCCTAAACCCACATCACCAGCAGCACGTCTGCCCTTCGCTTCCCCCGTATGAGAAATTGTGAGCCCTCGAAAAGTATTGCATCTCCATATGGCCCCACACATCTCTGGAGAGATCTCCGACTCGACTGCACCATCGTGCAGACGTAGCGGCACTAAACGGCCCGTGCCTGGAGCTGGGAGGAGTGTGTGTGTGTGTGTTGTGTGTGTGCGTGTGTGTGGGAGGGAGGGATAGAGATATGCAGACAGAAACTACTTTGACAGAGAGGATTGGAAGTAGGGCAATAATTGATGGATTTGTGGAGGGAGGGTAGGTGCATGCGTGGGTTTGTGGTGATTTGGCCTGAATTGTGGTCTACCGAGGCAGGTTCAGTGGGGCCGATGGGTGTTGGAGACGGAAGGAGCTTTTATTTAGTCCTTCAGTGAGGCTATGCCTCAGTCTGCCTTCTCCTAAGGTCAGCATTAGCCTTGTCTTGTTCCTAGCTTTGTGTCTTTAACACTGTAGGCTTATAGCATTGGTATAAACCCTGGCAAGCAACGATTGAAGCTATGTAAACAACAACTTTCTCCTTTTGTCTCGTCCTCTGTTCCCCTGTAGTCTGGAGATATTGTTCTGGAGTTGCAGAACAGCATCGAAACAACTAGAAAATATGTCTATCATCGCCTTTTACCTTTGGGCCACACACTCAGCCCAGACCTTTAGTTGTGAAGTCTCTCTCAGCCCAGACCTTTAGTTGTGAAGTCTCTCTCAGCCCAGACCTTTAGTTGTGAAGTCTCTCTCAGCCCAGACCTTTAGTTGTGAAGTCTCTCTCAGGCAGTAAAGTCATTGTGGTCCCTCAGGCTCCAGAGGGAGGAGGTCAGAATCACTCCATCTTTTTTAATGAGAGGATAACAGAGAGCATGTTCACTGTTCACAGCCTGCTGGCTCAACGTGTGTGTGTTGTGTGTGTGTTGTGTGTGTGTGTTTGCCTAACCCCTAATGGCTTTACCCGATACATGCACAGCTAGCTACACACTATTTCTAAACCACAGCCAAAGGTGGTGTCCTCGACAGAATCACTGAGAATCCAGAGACCCTGTTATCTCTTTGCAATAAGAGAGGAACTTTACTTCCCAGTCAGAGAGAAACTGCAGACAATATTCTATCTATTTAAATCTATTCAGCCATAAAACAGAAGCACCCACAGTTTGCGGCCACTGTGTCTCCATGGCGATGACTCATTGTTGATCAAAGTGTCTGTCCTCGCCGCTAATTAATTCCATAAAGCTGCTTTAAGAATAGGGATAAAACTATTTGTTTTAATGAATTCATTTCTAAACGCTTTTGAGGAAAGCTGATCGTTGGGTGTGAACAAACAAGTTAGCTGACCTCTGATTAACCTTTAGAAATGGAAACTGACACTTGAGCCTAACTAATAGGCCCATAATGATTTCTTTCAGCAGCTAATTGCAGTTTTTGCAGAACCTATTGTGGTGTCCTTTATAGCCCAAAACACCAGCAACTTCATCAAGAGGCTCGAACCTCTTGGCATTATGGTTTAAAGCTGTTGGGCTCACTAACACAAGATAACAAGTTTGAGTCCAACTCTACCCCCAAATTCGTTGCAATGCTTACATGTGTTTATGATAATTTTGATACAACACAGTACACAGATAAGCGGGGCTACAGGGATGTATTTTCTGCCTGTGTGATTCTATGATTGTATCAAGCAGAGATTAAGTATTTTGTGTTCTTTAATTAGTGGATGTGAGGCATGGGGAGACACGTCTGAAACAGTCCTCTCCAGAGACCATCGTAATGAGCAGACATTGAATTACACTTCAATGGGATCAGGAGTGAGAGAGAGGTTCTGTTCAGACTCTCACAGCCTCCCCTAACAACTGGTCCAGGGCCTGTTCTGTTTCCAAACCTCCTCACCCCTCTGGAGTTACTGGATACCCCAAACAACTGTCCCCCACAACTGCATGATAACACTAACCCTAACCATGGTGTGGAAAGGCTTGCACTGTGGAGGAGTCATACAGTGGAAGCCATGTTGACAGCTGTGTGTCCCTCTTGTGACAGTGTGGATGTGAGACATTGAGAAGTGACCTGATTGTCAGACAGAGTGTCTCTGCTTGTTGTTCTATTGTCCATTAGGAGAAAGCAAATACATTTGCATGAGATCTGAAGGACTGCTGAATTGGTGTGTTCATCCCCATGGAGACAGGCTCTGATGCTGACTGGAGCGGGTTTGACTCATTTATGAGCTGTGTAATCACCGATAAGGAACACAAACGAATGCATATTTTGACCTTTAGAAGCGACTCATCAGTTTCTCCGTGCTATTCTTCTGTCACAAAACCAGAGAGAAGAAAGGCAAACAGTTGTTCCTTTAGCATGCTGTGTACTCACATTAAAAAAGCCCATTATGGAGATGTGTGTGTCATTTGCATCTAAAGCAGGTACAGGGATGGGGTCTGTTCTTTATTTGTCACACACACACACACACACACACACACACACACACAAACATGCACCCACATGTCTTAATTATTTCCCTCACACTAATTTGTATGGTATAGTGAGCTTTGTTTCTGGCTCCAAAAGAGGAATTAATGGCTGACGCCTCTAAGCATGGACTTGCTAATGCTCGGCACCGGTGCGTGGCTTGTTGGCATTCTGCTCCAGAGCCTGATTTAAATTTGCACTGATTATACTGTTGCTCATGAAAAAAAGGAGAGAAAAAACAGAGTGATGAATTAGGCTGAGGTAACTTGCCTTCTGGAACATACAGTGAGAGGTTATAATTCACAAAAAGAGAGCAGCACAAATATATTAAGTCAGATTAATTCTGTTGAGGTAGATTGATTCTCTGTGTGGGAGTATCAATCCAAATCCCACCCCCCCCACCCCCACATCTCAAATTGTAAATTAATTTCAGATGGTTGCTAGGGGATGAGGAAGATGAGGAAGGGGGTGTTTGCTGCCCCCTCACTTTACACCCATCACTCTAAAACATCAACCCAAACCTAATTTCACATCAACTGTAAACTCCTTTACACTGCAACTTCCACAAACTTGAGTTATCACCGTCTTCAAATACTCATCAAAGACTAACTCCTTCCACAGGACGTATAGCTGGGATCTCGCCCGAATTCTTCTGCTCTCTCCCGAATACTATGCATACCATTGCTGTGTTTTGGGATGGGCACCGTTCTACACACGCACCGCTGGCTTGCTGTTTGTGTCTGTGTGTGTGTGGATGTCTGTGGGTGTGCAAGCATGCATGCATGTGCGTGTGTGGGCGTGTGCGTGTGGATGTCGTTGATCTTGTATGCAGATCCATATCTGATGAGGCAGAACACAGAGCCCTGGGGGACTTCAGTGAGTTAATATTCAGAATGATAATGTTTAAAGGAGGAAAGCCATAACTATAAGTGAGTTTTCTGCCCTCCAGCGCAAGAGGACACATTGGAGGAATGAATGATGAGCAGTGGAGCTGCAGGAGTCAACAAGCCATATTAAAGTTCAACCTCTCAGCTCATAAGGAGAGAGCAGATCCATTTTCTTATAGCCTTTTCTGGTTGATGTGAGGAAAATAAATAATTGTTAAATTAATTAATGTTTTTATGGTGACTTTTGTAGTGACTATTGCATGGATTGTGTGTATTGTAGTCATGTATATGATATAGCGTAAAAGACAGGTACTGTATATTGTACACTGTGCTAGATGCTGGTAGTGGAGTATGTTGTCATTGTATTATGTACAGTGCCTTTGGAAAGTATTCATACCCCTTTAATTTTTCCACATTTTGTTACGTTAAAGGCTTATTCTAAAATGGATATTTTTTTAAAATCCTCAGCAATCTACACACAATAACCCATAATGACAAAGCGAAAACAGCTTTTTTAGAAAGTTTTGCAAATGTATTAAATATAAGACTCGAAATTGAGCTCAGGTGCATCCTGTTTCCATTGATCATCCTTGAGATGTTTCTACAACTTCATTGGAGTCCCCCTGTGTGTTAAATTCAATTGATTGGACATGATTTGGAAAGGCACACACCTGTCTATATAAGGTCCCACAGTTGACAGTGCATGTCAGAGCAAAAACCAAGCCATGAGGTCGAAGGAATTGTCCATAGAGCTCCGAGACAGGATTGTGACTCGGCACAGATCTGGGGAAGGGTACCAAAACATTTCTGCAGCATTGAAGGTCCCCAAGAACACAGTGGCCTTTGGAATCCCCAAGACTCTTCCTAGAGCTGGCCGCCAGGCCAAACTGAGCAATCGGGGGAGAAGGGCCTTGGTCAGGGAGGTGACCAAGAACCCGATGGTCACTCTGACAGAGCTCTAGAGTTCCTCTGTGGAGATGGGAGAACCTTCCAGAAGGACAACCATCTCTGCAGCACTACACCAATCTTGCCTTTATGGTAGAGTGGCCAGACGGAAGTCACTCCTCAGTAAAAGGCACATGACAGCCCGCTTGGAGTTTGCCAAAAGGCACCTAAAGACTCTCAGACAATGAGAAATAAGATTCTCTGGTCTGATGAAACCAAGATTAAACTCTTTGGCCTGAATGCCAAGCATCATGTCTGGAGGAAACCTGGCACCATCCCTACGGTGAAGCATGGTGGTGGCAGCACCATGCTGTGGGGATGTTTTTCCGCGGCAGGGACTGGGAGACTAGTCAGGATTGAAACAAAGATGAACCTCCCGAGTGGCGCAGTGGTCTAAGGCTGTGCCACTAGAGATCCTGGTTCGAATCCAGGCTCTGTCGTAGCCGGCCGCGACCGGGAGACCCATGAGTTGGCGCACAATTGGTCCAGTGTAGGGGAGGGAATGGCCGGCAGGGATGTAGCTCAGTTGGTAGAGCATGGCGTTTGCAACGCCAGGGTTGTGGGTTCGATTCCCACTGGGGGCCAGTTAAAAAACAACAACATAATAATGTATAACTGTAAGTCGCTTTGGATAAGAGCTTCTGCTAAATGACTAAAATGTAAATGTAATGAACGGAGCAAAGTACAGAGAGATCCTTGATGAAAACCTGCTCCAGAGCGCTAAGGACCTCAGACTGGGGCGAAGGTTCACTTTCCAACAGGACAACAACCCTAAGCACACAGCCAAGACAACGCAGGAGTCGCTTCGGGACAAGTCTCTAAATGTCCTTGAGTGGCCCAGCCAGAGCCCAGACTTGAACCCGATCAAACATCTCTAGAGAGACCTGAAAATAGCTGTGCAGCAACGCTCCCCATCCAACCTGACAGAGCTTGAGAAGGATTGGAGAAACTCCCCAAATACAGGTGTGCCAAGCTTGTAGCGTCATACCCAAGAAGACTCGATGCTGTAATCACTGCCAAAGGTTCGTCAACAAAGTACTGAGTAAAGGGTCTGAATATTTATGTAAATGTGTTTTTTATTTTGAATAAATTAGCGAAAAATTATATAGACCTGTTTTTGCTTTGTAATTAGGGGGTATTGTGTGTAGATTGATGAGGGGAAAAAACAATTTAATCAATTTTATAATAAGGCTGTAACGTAACAAAATGTGGAAAAAGTCAAGGGGTCTGAATACTTTTCGAATGCCTCAGTAGCTATTGGGACAGTGAAGCATTTTTTCTTCTTTTGGCTCTATAACAAACAATTGGGACAAATTCACTTATATGTCCATTAAAGTAGACAGAAGTTAAGAATTTAGTCCCATATTGATAGCACGCAATGACTACATCAAGCTTGTGACTCTACAAATGTGTTGGATTTATTTGCTGTTTGTTTTGGTTGTGTTTCAGATTAATTTGTTCCCAATAGAAATGAATGGTAAATAATGTATTGTGTCATTTTGGAGTCACTTTTATTGTAAATAAGAATATAATATGTTTCTAAACACTTCTACATGAATGTGGATGCTACCATGATTACGGATAATCCTGAATGAATCGTGAATAATAATGAGTGAGAAAGTTACAGACGCACAAATATCATTCCCCCAAGACATGCAATACATTATTTACCATTGATTTCTATTGGGCACAAAATAATCTGAAACACAACCAACACAAACAGCAAATGCATCCAACAAATGTGTAGAGCCACAAGCTTGACGTAGTCATTGCATGCTATGAATATGGGAACAAATACTTAACTTTTTACTACTTTAATGGACATATAAGTGAATTTGTCCCAATACTTTTGCTCCCCTAAAATGGGAGCACAAAAAGGGCTGTAATTTCTCAACGGTTCACCCGATATGGATGAAAATACACTCAAATCAAATCTGACAGTCTGCACTTTAACCTTATAGTCATTGTTTGATTTCAAATCCAAAGTATAGAGCCAAAAGAAGAGAAAATGCTTCACTGTCCAAATAAATACTAAGGGCTCTGTGTACTCTCTGGGTATAATCCCACACATTAGTTATTCATTATTTTTTACTCAGGCCACATTGGCCCATTTGTCATCTCCCTTTACCCATAAACTCATTCTCCTCTCTCTGTGCCCTCTGACCTGTCTGTGTCCAAAGTCATTGAGAATGGTGGCCAGTTTCTTGGTGTTGCTGTGCTGTCGCTGGTTGGGGATGGCTGGGTTCGGGTCCCTCCAGTCTACGGAGAGACGGTGGAGCCACATGTCTGACTCCTGTAGGTGGGCCTGCCTAAGGCTGGGGTCAAAACAGTGCACTTCACAGCCCGCCCTGGCCAGAGAGCGCTCCAGAGTCTTATCCTCCATACCCAACCTATGGTAGAGAGAGGGGGAGGGAGGGAGAGAGACAGAGAGAGAGGTTATATACAGCATATTTGATGGATGGTTGAGTGGATGGCTACAGATAGAATTATATATGGTATATTGTATAAGGACTTCTGTTTGTACATCTGCTGGAGCTGAAAAGTATTGCTCCCTTCAGCAGCTCAATTAATAATTCAACAGAAGGCTGAAAGTATGGGAGGATATGAGCAGAAAAATATTTGATTTCTTGCTTGTTTTCAAGACTGACAAAGGCTTGTTTTGCTCCTCCCACACTTCCCTCCTTTCCCACTGGGCACAGACGTCAATTCAACGTCCATTCCACATTGGTTCAACGTATTTCATTGAAATGACTTGGAAACAACGTTGATTCAACCAGTGTGTGCCCAGTGGGTTCTCTCTTCAAATCAAATGAAAATCCTCTGTAGCTCAATTGGTAGAGCATGGTGCTTGTAACGCCAGGGTAGTGGGTTCGATCCCCGGGACCACCCATACGTAAAAATGTATGCACACATGACTAAGTCGCTTTGGATAAAAGCGTCTGCTAAATGGCATATTATTAAATCAAATGTTATTTGTCAAATGCTTTGAAAACGAATAAAACGTCACAATAAAAGTAATAATAAACACACAATGAGGAACAATAAAATGTCTCCTGAGTGGCGCAGTGGTCTAAGGCACTGCATCGCAGTGCTAGCTGTGCCACTAGAGATCCTAGTTCGAATCCAGGCTCTGTCGTAGCCGGCTGCGACCGGGAGACCCATGGGGCGGCGTGCAGTTGTCCAGGGTAGGGGAGGGAATGGCCGGCAGGGATGTAGCTCAGTTGATGGAGCATGGTGTTTGCAACGCCAGGGTTGTGGGTTTAATTCCCACAGGGGGTATGAAAATAAAATAATGTATGCACTAACTGTAAGTTGCTCTGGATAAGAGTGTCTGCTAAATGACTAAAATGTAAATGATGACTTGGCTATATACATGGGGTACCAGTACCAAGTTGATGTGCAGGGGTATGAGGTAATTGAGGTAGAAATGTACATATAACTAAGAATAGTGTGACTAGGCAACAGGATAGATAATAAACAATAGCAGCAGCGTATGTGATAAGTCAAAAAGGGTTGTGCAAAAAGGGTTGATGCAATAGTCCGGGTAGCTATTTGCTTAATTATTTAACAAACTATTTAGCAGTCTTATGGCTTGGAGGTAGAAGCTGTTGGTGCATTGGTACCACTTGCCGTGCGGTAGCAGAGAGCACAGTCTATGACTTGGGTGGCTAGAGTCTTTTGAAAATGTTTAGGGCCTTCCTCTGACACCGCCTGGTATAGAGGTCCTGGATGGCAGGGAGCTCGGCCCGGGTGATGTACTGGGCAGTACACACTACCCTCTGTGGTGCCTTGCGGTTGGATGCCAAGCAGTTGCCTTACCAAGCGGTGATGCAGCCAGTCAAGATGCGCTCAATGGTGCAGCTGTAGAATTATTTGAGGATTTGAGGGCCCATGCAAAATCTTTTCAGCCTCCTGAGGGGGAAGAGGTGTTGTCGTACCCTCTTCACGACTGTGTTGGTGTGTGTGGACCATGATAGGTCCTTAGTGATGTGGACACCGAGGAACTTGAAGCTCTTGACCCGCTCCACTACAGCCCTGTCGATATGAATGGGGGCGTGCTCGGCCCTCCAGTAGTCCACGATCAGCTCCTTTGTCTTGCTGACGTTGAGGATGAGATTGTTGTCCTAGCACCATGCTGCCAGGTCTCTGACCTCTTCCCTATATGCTGTATCATCGTCGTCGGTGATCAGGCGTACCACTGTCGTGTCATCAGCAAACTTAATGATGGTGTTGGAGTCATGCGCGGCCACGCGGTCGTGGGTGAACAGGGAGTGCAGGAGAGGACTAAGCACACACGCACATCCCGTCAGGAAGTCCAGGATCCAGTTGCAGAGGGAGGTGTTCAGTCCCAGGGTCCTTAGCTTAGTGATAAGCTTGGAGGGACTATGATGTTGAACGCGGAGCTGTAGTCAATGAACAGCATTCTCACATAGGTGTTCCTTTTGTCCAGGTGGGCAGTGTAGAGTGCAATAGAGATTGTGTCATCTGTGGTTCTGTTGGGACGGTATGCGAATTGGAGTGGGTCCAGGGTGTCTGGGATGATGGTGTTGATGTGAGCCATGACAAGCCTTTCAAAGCATTTCATGGCAACAGATGTGAGTGCTATGGAGCAATAGTCATTTAGACAGGTTACCTTGGCGTTCTTGGGCACAGGGACTATGGTGGTGTGCTTGAAACATGTAGGTATTACAGACTGGGTCAGGAAGATGTTGAAAATGTCAGTGAAGACACTTGACAGTTGGTCAGCGCATGTTCTGAGTATGCTGGTCCTGGTAATCTATCTGGCCCTGCGGCCTTGTAAATGTTAACCTGTTTAAAGGTCTTACATTGGCTACGGAGAGCGTGATCCCACAGTCGTCCGGGATAGCTGGTGCTCTCATGCATGGTACAGTGTTGCTTGCCTCAAAGTGAGCATAGAAGGCATTTACATTGTCTGGTACACTCTTAGGAAAAAGGATTCCAGAATAGTTATTTGTGGAGGGATAGGGTTCTACCAAGAACCATTTTGATCAGAATAATCATTTTTGGAAGACAAGGGTTCTTTGTAAGGCAAATAGTTATATCTAGAACCTTTAACATCCTAAGAACCGTTTTTGTAAGAAAGGGTTCTTTGATGATTATTTAGAAGGCAAGAAGGATTCTTTGGAAGGCAAGAAGGGTTCTACATAGAACCATATATAATATTTCCCAGCATGTTCTATTACAGGGAGATTTTCAGAATTGTTTGTCTTACTGTAATATCTGTGTTTTTGCATTTACATTGATTGGTTAATAACTTTTATGCTATACCAAGATAAATAACATACAGTTTTCTAAACTAATCCAATCTGTTGGATTTATTGGACCGGTTACTGAGATGGTTGTTCCAGTTTAGATGATTGAGGTAGTCTCAGTATTCAACCTTCCCTACCCTGGCAGTCATTCTGAATGCAGGCTGTGGTGATTAACAATTCCACTTTTGGATATCCTAACTCTGGCTGGATTCCAATAGGAATTGCACATCACTTTGCAAACCAGCATAATGGGACTTGCAGGCCTGATGTGGCCTGTAAACCAGGAGATAACTAGGCCATCAAAGAAAGACCTTATGATGTATGTAATGTATTGTCATAAATAATACAATTTTAAAGGCTAATAAGGCTGGTGGAACCGTTCATAGAGGGTTCTAGGAAGAACCCTCCAAAGATAAGACGGTTCTTGGTGAAACCCTTCATATTTTTGCCCCTAATTTGTGGAACAATCTGCAGAGTTCACTGCAGTTAGATGTGCTGGTGCCACTCAGGCCGTTTAAATGATTGATTGAGGACCTCTATGTAGTTGAATGTGATTGCTTTTATTAAATATGTTTATTTTGTTATTTTGTGCTGAATTATATTGTTTTATACACATACAGTGAGGGAAAAAAGTATTTGATCCCCTGCTGATTTTGTACGTTTGCCCACTGACAAAGACATGATCAGTCTATAGTTTTAATGGTAGGTTTATTTGAACAGTGAGAGACAGAATAACAACAAAACAATCCAGAAAAACGCATGTCAAAAATGTTATCAATTGATTTACATTTTAATGAGGAAAATAAGTATTTGACCCCTCTGCAAAACATGACTTAGTACTTGGTGGCAAAACCCTTGTTGGCAATCACAGAGGTCAGACGTTTCTTGTAGTTGGCCACCAGGTTTGCACACATCTCAGGAGGGATTTTGTCCCACTCCTCTTTGCAGATCTTCTCCAAGTCATTAAGGTTTCGAGCCAGACGTTTAGCAACTCGAACCTTCAGCTCCCTCCACAGATTTTCTATGGGATTAAGGTCTGGAGACTGGCTAGGCCACTCCAGGACCTCAATGTGCTTCTTCTTGAGCCACTCCTTTGTTGCCTTGGCCGTGTGTTTTGGGTCATTGTCATGCTGGAATACCCATCCACGACCCATTTTCAATGCCCTGGCTCACCCAAGATTTGACGGTACATGGCCCCGTCCATCGTCCCTTTGATACGGTGAAGTTGTCCTGTCCCCTTAGCAGAAAAACACCCCCAAAGCATAATGTTTCCACCTCCATGTTTGACGGTGGGGATGGTGTTCTTGGGGTCATAGGCAGCATTCCTCCTCCTCCAAACACGGCGAGTTGAGTTGATGCCAAAGAGCTCGATTTTGGTCTCATCTGACCACAACACTTTCACCCAGTTCTCCTCTGAATCATTCAGATGTTCATTGGCAAACTTCAGACGGCCCTGTATATGTGCTTTCTTGAGCAGGGGGACCTTGCGGGCGCTGCAGGATTTCAGTCCTTCACGGTGTAGTGTGTTACCAATTGTTTTCTTGGTGACTATGGTCCCAGCTGCCTTGAGATCATTGACAAGATCCTCCCATGTAGTTCTGGGCTGATTCCTCACCATTCTCATGATCATTGCAACTCCACGAGGTGAGATCTTGCATGGAGCCCCAGGCCGAGGGAGATTGACAGTTATTTTGTGTTTCTTCCATTTGCGAATAATCGCACCAACTGTTGTCACCTTCTCACCAAGCTGCTTGGTGATGGTCTTGTAGCCCATTCCAGCTTTGTGTAGGTCTACAATCTTGTCCCTGACATCCTTTTAGAGCTCTTTGGTCTTGGCCATGGTGGAGAGTTTGGAATCTGATAGATTGATTGCTTCTGTGGACAGGTGTCTTTTATACAGGTAACAAACTGAGATTAGGAGCACTCCCTTTAAGAGTGTGCTCCTAATCTCAGCTCATTACCTGTATAAAAGACACCTGGGAGCCAGATATCTTTCTGATTGAGAGGGGGTCAAATACTTATTTCCCTCATTAAAATGCAAATCAATTTATTACATTTTTGACATGTGTTTTTCTGGATTTTTTTGTTGTTATTCTGTCTCTCACTGTTCAAATAAA